GATCTGGTCTTGGTCACCACGAGGTGAAATTGTTAAACCAATTAACCCTGCAGAAGACGAAGAAAAAAATACTGGAAAACCAGCTGGAGGTTGTGGATGTTAATATAACCACATAATAAGCATTAATCAATGTTTAGTTTCACTAACTTATATGTAAATAATCAGTAAATTAGAAAGTTTATTCCTCATCTATTTCATCATCAAAATAAGGAACATCTAGCCCTAAATGTTGTAAAAGAACTGAGGTTGGTCCATATTCTGATCCTTGAGCTTGTAAGGATCTGAGAAGATTCTTCATCACATTAGCATCTGTAATTTCCGATCTTTGTTGAGTGTCACCGAATTGATATAATTCATCATCCATTTTTTGCATTAGGTCTTCCATTTCTGGATCAATTGTTTCTTCGTCTTCCCAATCGTCATCATCATTTTCGTTATCGTCAATGTCCTCATCTTCGTCTACTTCCTCTTCTATGTTAAACTTTTCTATCAACTCCTCAATAGGATATTTCCCAAATGTTTCCTTAAGAAAATTGTCTAAACGAGATTGATCGTTTGGTGCAGTTGATGATGAGGATATGAATGACCAATCATCCTTACTTGTCTTATGTTTTGATTTGGTTTTTACACCTCCAATATTTGATTCTTCCTCCTCAATAAATGATTTCACTTTATCCATCATATCTTTGGCTTTCTTTTCTATATCTTGTTCTCCTTCTCCACTTTCTGAAAATCCCTTCTGAGAGAAATACTTCTCCATCTCTTCATTGGCAGAGTCAAGCCAATCATCAGTGTCAACTATTAACTTTCTCTGTTTGATTTCTTTCATTGACAAGGTAGAACCTTCCATTAAAGCTTGCTCAATGAAATAACAATTTGCTGTCTTTCCAAACTCATCATAGTATGTTTTTGATTTGGTCACAAGATTATTGAACTTATCAGTGCCACTCATTTCCAAACCAAAGTATCCATGATCGTAGAGATGATCCACATAATCTTCAAAGGAATCAAAAATATCGATTGGTTTTTCCGCATGATAGTACATTTCCAGTCCACATAATATCTTGAACCCAAGTTCGTATGCTTTTTCTTGTTTGTCTGTTCTCTTATTGCTAGGTCTGTAGATTGAAGCAAGTTTTGGAACATCATTCACGTCTATTCTACTCGATATTAATTGTACATATTGACATCTATTTACATTGACAGAATAGTATGTGAAATAATCTCTTAGTGAACCATTATCTGATGATGGCTCAGTTGGTAAAAATCTCGAAAATGATTTTAGGAATTTCTCAGTGACAGTGTTTTTACGTGTCAAGTAATAAATACACTTGGATACAATCTGAGGGTGCTTATCGAGAAGTCTAATCACATCTAAAGGAAGGTAACAAGCTATTTTTTGAGAACCAAACTCTACTGCTTCCTTTGGGAATGAAGAAAGTCGAGTTGAAATGCAATTTTGAATAGAGTCTTCACTTTGACAGTATTTGGATTCTCTGAAAACCATTTCTACTGCCTTGTGGATATTTTGTATTGGTTTGCTAATTGGAAATACTTCATAATATGAATAGGAAGGAGTTTCTGGCTGGTCAGGCAGAATATGTAATTTTCCATTATAAATAAAAACTCTATTGGTTGTCAATTCGGGTTCGTCATTCATCCATTCTGCAATGTAATCAGCTGCTTCAATTAGAAGGAATTCACCATCTTGGTCAGAAATTTGTACCACTACTTGATCTTTGAAATTCTTAGAGAGCTCAACAAGAAGATAGGTAATGAACCATTCATCAATGTTGGTCTCTGAAAAATTAACTCTTCCACAAATGTATGGATAAACAGGTTGATTATTTCTGAGAAACATTTCCTCGGTGCAATCTTCTAATTGCTCTGGAGGAGAAACAAATGTAATATTGAACATATCACCTTGCCAAACATAATTTTCGGGAATTCTTTCTTTGAGGAAGTTATGAATCTCGCATGATTTCTCAAAGAATAATTCTTCATTAAAATCTTCAATCGTTTTTGTTTCATCCTTAAATCTTGATGTCAATTCTGGTTGTACAATAAATATTCTATATGATACAAAGTCATGTGTAAAGTTTTCAGAATTTTTCTGGAACAGATTCTTCAATACTTGGTCAATTGGTAGATTTGGATCATAGCAAAACGAATCCTTATTATTCTTAGACTTGGTCTTTTTCTTATTTGTTTTAGGTTTTCTCATTTGAATAAGTTTTTAATAGTTAAAATGTAGAAATAGGTAAAAAGTGACAATAATCTCGAGTATGGAAATATATATTTCAATCTAATAATATCCAATAAAGTTAAAATAGTATTTTCTCTATTATTCGTATTGGTTTTAATTTGTTTTTCCAAAGCGTCTTTAAATCTTAAAGTATGATAATCAATTCTATCCTGTTCAAACCAATTCGAAACCTTATTTATCTCCTCCAAAGCAGTCTGAGTGGTAACAAATTTACGATAGGTATTATTCTTTCTAAATTCCGAATCAGCACCTGATGATTTAATTAGTGATGAGTCGTTTGTAAATTCAATATTGGCCATAAAATCCAATGTAATTAATCCGATGATGATGATTGATTTTAAAACAACAACAGCAACACCAATAAATAGCCTTTGATGATTTTTTTTGAATTTTTTAAATAAACATTTTTGTTTTTTAATATTGAACATGAACTAATTTCATCTTGAAGGAGATGTTTCGGAATGACAATAAATGTTAAATAAACACAAAGGACATTATTTTCTAAATATTAAATTAAATAAATAATTTAAATATTAAAATTAAAAAAAAATGAGCAAAATCGTCAAGAATCTAAGTTTGGGAACGATGGTTTTCCTGGTTGGAGGTCTGGGAGCCACTATGTGGATGCAAAACAAGAGATTTGAATCGGAGAGTAAGATGAAAGACCTTACCTCTCCTCAGCAGATACAAAAAATTTCCGAGTCTCTTTCACCTTCTGATTTTACTAATTATCCAATTGGACAAATAATACCACTTGATGAGGATTCAAAACTTGTTAGATTTGTACTTTCAAAGCAAGGAGAGCCATTGAGATTAAATTTAAACAAGACAATTTCTAAAGTAAATATTTTGGATCCGAGAAATAATGATGAGAATAGCACAAAATATGTACAAGAGTTTTATCCGATTAATGCATGTGATACTGTTGGATTTTTGGATATTTTGGTGAGCAAGAAGGAACAACCAGATTTATTTAAATCAAAAACAGGAATGAGTTTTGGAATTCAAGGACCTTTTGAATCGGAATTTCAATATGATAAAAAGGAAAATAAGAGTCCATCAATTACATTGGTAGCTCAGGATGTGGAACATGGAATTTCTCCATCTTTTCAATTAATGTCTGAAATTTTGGTCAACTCCCAAGGAAATAAGAGTAATCAACCAAAGATTCATCTCTATTATATTGTATCAAAATCAAATTATCTCTTGAGACAAAGTTTGGATGATTTAAAGATTCCATTCCAAGGAAAATTAGAAGTAACCACCATCATGAATAAGGGTGATAAGAAACCATGGGAAGCTCTCTCAGAAAATCTTCACAATATCGAAAAACTCAGACAAAACTCCACCTCAGGATGTCCAATCATTATCTGTGGAACCAAAGATTTTGAATCCAACATGAAATCCCACCTCTCCAAACATGATATTTCTTCCATTACTCTCCAAAAAGATCAATAATCCACAAAATTTCAAAATATATATCGAATTACTAGGATAAAATCAAATAAACCAATACAATGAAACTCAGCATTTTGACCCTTTTCAAAACCATTTCAATTCACTTGTATTGTCTTCTAAATTAGAACCTGAAATGTCTATTCAAATTTCTTTTTATTTTTGAAAATTAAAAAACAATATCGCATCTTACTCCGAGTGTAATATATTTTCTATCCATCACAACACAGCAACAATATGAGTACGATAAGTAACGAGAGTAGTGATGATCTACCAAAATTTGTACTATATGGAAATCGTTTCTATCGTTCGATTGGGATTTCTGTGGATGATTTAGATCCCGAAGGAGCTTTATATACCTATTTATTTAGTTTTGAAGAGGATGATGAAAATTCGCATCAACACAATACACTTGAATCATCAACAACTTCGGATCCATTATTGAATGCTACGGCAAATTCTACAAATGCCAATACAGATGTTACCACATTACGAAATGATGAAGAAAGTGAGGAGGATGATGTTGATGAAGATATGTCTGCTGGTACGTGGAGAATTAATAATTATTATAAAATTATGAAACACTTTATGATGATGATAATGCGGATTTAATTTAATGAATTTATTCGAAAAGGAGGTGGAGCAGAATTAAGTTCTCATCAAACTCCTAATATTATACAACCTCCAAAGAGAGATGGACATGAATTTGATATGCTACAATCAATTTATCAAGTTACAGGCCAATTATTAGCAAGTGCTGAAGAGAGAAGAGTAATTATTACCTATGTCTTGTGGTTTATTAATTTATCTTTGAAAAACGAAGAATCAGAAAGAAAAAAGATTGCCAGCTCAATTAAGAGGACTGAATTGGAACAAAATTTGATTGATATTGGTTTTAAGGAACAATCATCAATTTACAAACATGTTAAACATATTTATGAATAATTTGTTTAACAATTTTGTGTAATTGATTCTGTAAATATTTCTATTGTATTAGTTCTTGGCAACATTGATTCTTTTTTCAATATTGTTCGATTATCAGCCTTGACTGTAGCCCAATGGTTTTTACACCTGTCAACAATCCAAAATTATAATAAAAAATGGTAATTCATCAACCACAAGACTCCGCTCAGCAGCAACAGCAACAACAAGAATTAAATTTAAAAACCGTCAAAGTACCTATCGAAGTACAAAAACCACTCCTCTCTTCCTCTATTCTAAACTCTGAAGATTCCAATGATCCACAAACTGTTCTCACTGAACAAATTGTTCAACAATTGATGGACTATAGAGAGGAAGCTATCGCCAAGGGATACCTAACTCTGAATATTCCCTTGCCACCAAATTTAAATTCCTCAACTTCTAATTTCACAACCGACTCACAAACTCTGAAACAATTTATGAGTGAGACGAATCCTAAAGTTGAGAAATGTAAACCACAACATCAAGATAAACTTCACAATCATGAATTGAAGAGAGTTACTAAACATATACAGGGACAAGTTGAAAAATCACTGATTAGTCAGTCGGAAGTTTCAAATCCATTGATGGATAGAGAACAGTGGTTGGCTCGTGCATTGAAGAGAAATCCAACTGCTTTGGCTTTGATGGAAAGAATGCGTCCTCTCAGTAAACACCCTTCTAATTGTACTGCTCTGACTCAAGTTCCAAGCGTTGGTGGTGGTCTGAGAGCTAGTTCAAGTTTTAGAAAGAAGGCCTCTTCATCATCTGGAAATTTGACCGATCAAAATTCTCCAAGAATTTCCACAAATTTACAAAGAAATGGAAGTGATCATAATATTGGCGGAAGTGTGAATATGACTTTATTAAATTCAATGAATGAGAGTGGATCAAGAGATTCTGTTAGTAATTTAATTTCATCCACAACTTCAATTTCTGGTGGAAGTACCACAAATTTATTGAAATTGATGGATATGGCAGGAAATGCAACTGATAGTGCTGGTGTTTTGAACGAAGAAGGAAAGAAGAGTATTTTGGATTATTCTAGCATTTTGGGTACTGTTGAAAATAGAGAAGTTCTCTCACGTGAAGCTCTTCTCCAATTGATCTATCAACATTTTGCTCAACGTGGACTTTATAAGACTATTCAAACTATGGAAGAAGAAACAGGTATCAGATATAACGGCTTCAGATCAGAAAAGAATGCCAATAAGGATACACTCGTTACTACACTCCTCAGTCTTGGTATTAAAGATATTGAAAAGCCATACGCAATGCCACAATCAGATTTGGTCGATTTGGAAGCTGATGTAGAGATTCAAACTTCAAGTATTTATCATCACTTTGATGAAGATTACGTTGATGACATGAAGAAACCATTGTGGGCTGAAATTAGTCATGCAGAGGAAGATGCAGAATATGTGGATGGTCATGACTTGAGAGGTGCTACATTGAACAAACTTATTGAAAAATTGACAAGTACAAGTGCTGATGGTAAATTCATTCAGTGCTTCCTTGTCACTTATCGTTCTTTCACAGTTCCTGAAATTTTACTTCAAAAGCTTTGTCAAAGATATAGAGTTCCAAAATCTATTCCAGAAAGCGAAAAGGTACAAATTCAATTGAGAACTGGTGTTATTTTCAACAAGTGGATTGAAGAATACTTTTCCTTGGATTGGAACGAAAACATGATTCGTGATTTTATTGTTTTCATTGAAGATTTCCTCTTGAAATATAGAAAGTTGGCCAAGATGGGTGAAAAACTCAAACAAAAACTCGCTCAAAAATTGGCCTCCAGAAACAGAGAAACTGCCTTGGTTTTCAGTGAACAATCCCAAGCACCTGACGTACCAAGAAATGTCTTTTCACCAAAGCTTTCCATTTGGGACATTAAGGAAGAAGAATTGGCCAAACAAATTACATTCATGGATCACAACTTGTATCGTAACATTGAAGCTCACGAATTGTTGAATTGCTCTTGGTCTAAACCAAAACTCAGACATCGTTCCAAGCACGTTTTACTCAGTAGTGAATTTTTCAACAAACTTTCCAATTGGTTCTCATGTCAAATTATTACCGAAGATTCATTGAGAGAAAGAAAGGCCAAATTGACCAAACTCATGAAAATTGCTGTAGCCATGTTCAGACTCAATAACTTTAATTCATTGATGGCCCTCAACTCTGTCTACTCAAGTTCAGGTGTCTTCCGTTTGAAGTATGCCATAGGTGAAATCGACGAAGGAACCAAGAAGGACTTTACTGATGCCATTGCTGTCATGTCCAACGATTCAAGCTCCAAGAGATACCGTACCTACATTAAGCAAGAAGCTAAACCACCTTTGAATATTTATTTGGGTATTTATTTGACCGATTTGACCATGATTGAAGATGGTAATCCAGATGTGATCAAACATCCAAAGACTCAAAGAAGTTTAATTAACTGGAAGAAGAGACAATTGGTTGCCAATACTATTTCTGAAGTTATGCAGTACAAGAATCCACCTTACAATATTCAACAAGTGCACCAAATTCAAGAATTACTCAAGAATACTTTCGAAAATCATGAAATGGTTGAAGAAAAGAAACTCTTTGAAAAATCACTCATTACCGAACCAAGAAGTGTTCAAAGAAAAGAAGATTTGAAACAATAAGGCTCTGTAACTTATTTTCCAATGAATTGTACCATATAATAAACCTTTAGTTTCGTATTAATCTGTATGTAATATTGAAATGGAAAATTATTTGAAATGCTTTTAGCAGATTAAGGATAGCAAAAAATTAGTAAAATTTATACCCTGTGGGACTCGAACCCACAACCCCCGGCTCCGTAGGCCGATGCTCTTCCAATTGAGCCAAGGGTACTTTCTTTGAAGTGATATCATTATTCTTTTTATCATTTCCCTTTTTTGTACAGCTAAGGTTCAAGTTTAATAATGCAGTATTAATAATTGTGGGATTTGAACATTATCCTTAGTGCTTTGAGTTATTAATAACCGTACCAAATTGTATTACACCTCGGAAAAAAAATGTCCAAAAACCAATTCGATTTGTTGGGAGATGATTCGCTAGTTAAAGATTACGAAAAACACAGAATCATTAATGAAAGAAATCAACCACTACTCTTCCGATCACTAAAAGAAAAAGAAAAATCGAAAAAGCGAACCAAAAGAGCTGAATTTGAACTAATATATGATATTGAGTATTTGTGGTTTATAGTATTGGAGTTTCTTCCTTTGAGAGATTTATTAAGATGCTCCGTAGTGAATAAATTCACATGTGGATTGATTCATTCCTATAATTGTTATGGAGAAATATTGAAAAGAGATTTCTTTAATAACAATGAAAATGATAAGAAAGAGATGGGAAAAATTGTAAAGAATATCGATAATACTGGAGTTTTTGCTTACTTGATTCAGGATTTTATTGGAAAAGCCAAGTTAACTCCTCAAAAATTACAAACAATTAAGAATACTATTATGCAAGAACCAGACTCTAAAATGAAGAGAATATTTGGAAAGATTTATTTGGCCATTGAGGAGGAGATTGAAAGTGTACAAGAAGAGGCAGAGCTATTGAAGCAACATGTTAGAAGCTTCTTGATTGAAAAGCTTTCTAAAAAGAAGACTGAAAATATGAAAACTAAGGTTAAGGAATGTGCTCACAACCATTGTGCAATTTCTCAAATCAGTTTACCTCCATTTACATTCAGACTCGAGTGCTTGGATTGTAAAGTGGCTGCAAGTACCAACTTTAGGCCAGAAAATGTTTTCAGAAAGGAAGTTCGATCAAGACTATGTAGATACCGAGTTCTGGACACATCAACCAAATTTGACAAGTATGTCTTGAATACTACTTCACATTCTTTTGAATTTGATCCAGATACTGTGTATAATTGCTAAGATAATGAATGGGATTAAATAATTCAATTTATTTCTTTATAAAACAAAAATGCACAAGCAAATACCTTCACCATCCTCAACTTTGATCAAACTTGATAAATTCTCAGATACTGATGATTGGCCAGTACAAGTTTCGGAATGGACTTGTCCAAGTTGTTCTCATCAAAATCAAAAATCATACAAGTGTTGTGAAAATTGTTCTTTCCAATCATCTCAATTCTTTTTCAATAACAGAGGAGCACACTTTAAATCGGAGAAGAAGATTGACAAGTTTTATCAAGTTTTTAAAAAGAAAAAGGTTTTCCTACCTGTAGTCCACGTTTGGGATGTTGCTCATGCTCTAAAGAATGCAAAATTACTCTACGATCATCACGTAGATGGTCTCTTTCTCATCAATAATAATTGCTCGGCTGACATCTTGATCGATGCTATTAAAAGTGTTAGAAGGGAATTTCCAGACAAGTGGCTTGGTATTAATATTTTGGGTATTTCTATTAGGGAATTATTTCTGAAGATTGCTGATTTGGATTTTGATGGATTGTGGTTGGATAGTGCCATGATTACTGAGGAGAGTGAATTCCAGAATATTGCAGAATTCATTCAGGATCAATTGGGGAGTATGAATTTCAAAGGATTGTACTTTGGTGGAATTGCATTTAAATATCAGAGGACTGTTATCAAAGATTTGAAAAAAGTAATTGATATTGCTAGCAGCTATGTGGATGTTATTCTCACATCAGGTGAAGCAACTGGAATGCAAATTAAGGAGGAAAAACTGAAAAAGTTTACAGAGCTAGTCAAATGTAATCCTTTAGGAATAGCTTCTGGTGTGACGAATAAGAATTTGATCACATCAATTAAACATGCAGATGTGTTCATTGTTGGTACATATATTGAGCACTACGTAACAGGAGATATTGTTGAGGAGAAGCTGGAAGAAATGTTAAAACTATTTCAAATGTACAATGAAATGCTAGAGAAGAGGAAGCAAGATGATATTCAGTAAGGAATAAATTAAATCTTTTTTAGTTTGACAGTAAATGAATTATTGGCAGAGCTGGTAATTGTTCTTATGGAGTGACCTTGTAATTCCTCAGATTCTCCATATTGTGCTACACTCGAGGAAGAAAATTGGAAAATTTGACCACCACTTCCTTGTGATGAGAGAGGTGTGGGTATTTCTCTTCCTTGATACTCGTTCAATCTTCCAGTTTCATCCTTGAAATCTTTCACTGAGCAAATAAAATCTGGATTCATCTTGCTTACCGATTCACATACATCCAAAAAACTGTGTGGGAGGATGTATCCGCCACTGACCTCCAGTGAGTAAGGTTTGTTATTGCCATTCTCGTTATTTGTTCTTGGGAATAATTTACATTTTTTCAAGGTGGAATTAATGAAAATATGTGGACTGATTATTTGAGGAACATCATAATCTAAAAATCTCAAATGATAATTTCCCAAAAAGTCAATTAGTGAGTGAAGATTGCTTCGTCCAATAATAACCAAGTACCTATACTGATTGCTGATTTCCTCTGGTCTGGATGCCAACATGACGTTATCTGCCTCAGTTCTCATCTCTGGCTTATTCACAGAATGTTCACTAAATTCAATGTCCTCAGCTTTCAATCTACTAATTAAATCCGAACTTGGCTGAGAGACGATACACCTTTTGGCTTTTGATGAAAAGGCAGATTCGTTTAAAAAGATGAAGGAACTTTTCTGGCCATAATCTGGAAGGAGGTAAAAGTAAGGGCATAGACCTTCAATGAAGGATGTGAAAACTGAAATTAATGCCTCACACCAACAATTATACCTCTCATTTAAAAACTCGATATCTAATCTTTGTAAATTCTTATCAAAAGTCTCATAAACATCTGACAAATTTTCCAAATTTTCTCTGTTATAGTTAGGTAATTCTCTTATTTTGGAATACATAGAGTGAGGTAAAAGAGATGAAGGATAAATATGATAGAGAAGGCCTTTGAAGAATTCACTTGAGGTTTGCGGTTCTTGATGAATTGGTGAAGGAGTCATTGGACTCTGACTAAAACTTTGTGAAAATCTCGTATTCGTTACAACATTACTAGTAGAGTTACCAGTTACAAAACTGGACAATCCCACAACTTTAGAATTTCCACTAATATTATTCGTCCAAATAAAATTCGCCGATGACTTGAAAGTTATAAATGTTTTCAAAGTATAATCAATAGGAATATTCTTGATCAATTTAACATCCAATTCTCTTTCCTGATTGGCAATCTTTTTCTTATTCGCTACTGCTGATGGCTTTCCCAAAAGAGCAAATCCTTGAAAGAGTTTCTTTTTCTGCTCTTCGGAAACTTGTCTCTTGGTAGCACCCACTCCGAGATTTAATAATTTATTGTCAGCCTCCGTCAGCTTTGGCTTCTTGCTTTCGGTGGTAGATGAGGAATCGGCAGAAGACGAGTGATGATCATTTTCAGAAGGGGAGGATCTTTTCATTTTTTTTTGAATTTGTTTTTTATTAAATTTTGGCGCCAAATTTGAGTTATTCAACAGTTATTTGTTAATATCTCAAAGTGTTTAAATAGTATTTGACAATTATTGTGTAATTTGGAATACTTCAATTTCTAAAACTCTAAAATTAGCACATCCAGCCAAATATTTCGAAATAGACTTTGAACTATAATTGCCCGTATCTGGAAGGTAATACGTGTGTCCAAATTTCGAATAAGAATTGAGATTTTCATTGCAATTATCAGCAATGCAAAAGTCATTTCCACCTCCAAATATTGGTAAATAAGAAGCTTTTGCAGAAATAGCAAATCTGTGTTGACCTGGCTTGATATTGAACTTGTTAAAAATATATACCATTCCATTGCTAGTCACTTTTTGAAATATTTTAAAGATGAAAGCTGAAGTATCAGAGACGTATTCTACACCAGTGTTAGCCCAACTTTGCATTGTGAATCCTCCAAAAATATGTCCAAAATCTGACTGAATAATTGTAAGAGTAGGTCCCTTATTATCACAAAGTTCATGGAATTTTGATGCCTTGAAACCATCTCTTGAACCTCTGTAGAGTAGAGTGGGCTTAATACGAGATTTGGTATGAACATTAATCTCATTGAACATTCTAGAATTTGGAATAATATTTGAGTTGAAAAAAATGTTCTTGAATTTTTCAGAATTACAATCAAAGGTATCATTATCGGCATTGAAAATGGCTTGTTCGAAATTGGAATTGGCAAAATCACACATTCTCAATTTACATGTGGAAAAGTTGCACTTTTTCAAGTTCGAGTCAAGAAATTTGCACTTGTCGAATAGCAAGTTCTTGAATTGATAATTTTCAAAGTTAATGGAATGGAAGGAACATTCGGTGAAGGTAATGTCATACAATTGAGATTCGGGAAATACGAATTCTCTATCGAAAGAGCATCTCCAAAATTCCACACATATGATTTCACAATTTTCAAATTTGGTTTGGAAGGAACAATCTGAAAATCCAATATTCAACAATTTGCAGTCCTTAAACTTGTTGTTTTTCAAGTTTTCTAAATGACAATTTTCAAATGTGAAATCTGAAAATATGCATTCAGTAAAGCAATACGCCAAATTTAAATTGGTTTCGAATAGAGATCCAATCTGACTGTGTTTGACTTCTATACCTTGAATTGTAAGAGAGTTAAGTAAATCAGGGGAAATTTTGGAAAGATTAATTTGACACTTTTTCAATGTACTTCCCTTAATTGTATTCGAAAAATCGAAATGTCTCATGTCCATATCAGAAAATGTGCATACATTGAGAGTACATTCTTTGCATTGCAAACTCTTTACACCAGTAAAGAACGATCCATCAAGAGTACAATTCACAAACCTGCAACTTTCAATATTATTTGATTGATTGAATTGAAGTTGAACTCGACATGAAATCATTTTAGCACCTGCAAAGTTTGCCTTATCAATCAAACAATTCTCAAATCTCACATTTCTAAATGTAGTTTTGGAAAAGTCACAATTAATGAAATCATAATGATAGGAGAATGTAATTAATGCAATTTCCATTCCACTGAATTTCATATTTCTAAAGTATTTGGAATTCATGTGATTGTTAAATAATTGACCAAGTGTACTATTGATTGGAATTTTCTTCAATTCCTTCCAATAATTCTTCAACTTGAAAACCTTACAAGCAGAAATCAATTGTTGCTTCAAAGTTGGTGATAAATCACTACTTGCAATGATATTGCCAAACTTGAACCATTCCAATAGGTGCTTGAATACTGTTGGATCACAATCAACAAAGAAGGAACCATTCTTTTCGGTAAAGATATTGGTTCTTTCACCTTTCAATAATTTGATGAATAGATTGGTTTCGTCCTCTCTTTTTGTGGAGGTGAAATATTTCTTATTGGTCATTATTAGTTGACCACCAATATTGAAATATATTGGATCCAGTTCCATTTCGTCATCATCGTCATCTTCAAACTCATCTTCGGATTGTTCTTCTTCAACTTGTTTCTTTTCTGCCTCCTCAACTGCTTCTTTTTGCTTTCGTTCAATTTCTTCCAAAATTGTCTTCCTTGTTGAACATTCTTCCAAATGTTCTAGAATTCTCCCTCTAGCTTCTTCTTTATTGCAATAACTACAAACTACCATCAGCTTGTCAATGTAGTTTTTAATGTTTTTCGGAGCAGGTTTAGTTTGAAAATTGGCATCATGACATTTAGGACAAGTTGAAAGGGACTTGGCACATGCTAAACAAAACATATTTTCACAAATAGTATGGAAAACAGGATCAGACAATGGCAGAGAACAGGAAGAACACAGCCACTCTTCTTCTACCTTCTCCACAAACGAAAAATCGAGTATTGTCGCATGAGATTGTGGTGTCACCTGCTGCTTCACTGTCAACATTTTTTTTTCAAGGAACAATTTCCATAAAAGGGTGGTTTGACTGTGATTGATTATATTGGTTACGATTCAATAATGGAAGGTTTAACTTTAAATACCATTATTGTAAAATATTGTAAAATATGTTAACAACCGAAATACTCGTACTATTATCCAAAGAAAACCTTAATATTTCAAATAAAGTTGTCGGTAAGAGCTCCGATTATGGAATTTTATGGTATGAAATCATTAAGGTGATTTTTCATAAAAGGTTTTGCATAGAATAGCCCCTATATTGAGAGCAAACAACGTACACTCCTCAACTTCTCAGATTTTCCACTCTGGGTTGATTCTTTACTTTTGATTGATTTGTAAAATATCCGAGTAAGATGGTTTTGAATAATGGTTCCAAAAACTCTACAAAGCATCTTATGTAGCTTCCATTAAGCCAGAAGCAAGTTGTTGTGTGCAGAACAACACTGTATCAACACGCAAAACTCACCTTGCTCAAATTATTACTGAGAAAAAAAAGAACAAACCTATTTAACCTTATAAACTCAACAGTGCCTAATTTCCCATCTGCTTGGAGTGAATTGTGGGGTGCCATCTGTAAAAGATTCTTAGAGGATAACGAAAATGTATTCTTCATCGTCATCACTGCCAGATTTTAAAAAGTCGAACAAATCATCATGCTTATCAACTGGTCAATGTGAAACCCAACTGATTCATTGTTCATCTTCTTGGTCCACCATTCTCACATCCTGTAACAATAGCCACAAGAGTCTCCAACAACAATTCCCACCATGTAAAAATACTACTACTCATTCACCAGAAAAACAGCAGCAATTACCATCAATGCACCAAAATGCAGCATTCAACAATCAACAAACACTTCCTGGATCTTCCATCTACTTTCAAAAAGACACAACACCAATGAAAAGATTGCCATCATTTCAATCCCTTCTCTTTAATATCAGTTTGGACTCTCAGGGATTTCCTGAATCGCTTCCTTCCCTTAATTCTTCTATTTTGAATAATATCTCTCCTCATGTAGACGCAACATGTACAGACACAACCTATTCAAATAAGGACCTTACATGTGAAATTAGTTCATCATCAACATCATCACTTGAACGTGATACTGTAGTAGTGAGAGAGGTCCTCCCAACGTATAATTGGATCAATTTCCTCATTATTTATAAATCCCATATGGGAGTTAAATTTTGTGATGTAATCTGTGGTAATGTGTTGTGGCATTTTTTTGTAATATGTATAGAACAAGAGTAATTACAAATTTACTAAATCGGAATAGTCTTTCTAATTTAATAAATACATCCCTTTATTTTTGTAATATGTGATTCTTCAAGTCCATATATAAAAGGGAGAAAGGCACCATTTGTGAAAACTCAATACGAATTAATATCAATGTTTATTGCAAGATTTTCATCTTGTTGTGAATTGGAATGTAGGCAGAGTGATATTTCTCTCATTCTCTCATTGAATTTTTCAATAAATTGCTCCTTATCTATTGCTTTAGTGAAATAGACTGAATTATTCGAGTTATTATTGTGCTCTCCATAAAATTCATCGACGAGAGGATTTACTTTACATGCCCTTTCTAAAAATGATGGTCTGTTATTATTCCAACGATTTTTCCTATAGAGGAAATGTGTAAATCTTGTGTATAATTGAAAATTCTCTTTCTTTTCCAGAATTTTCAGACAAGTTTCCTCATCCAAATCAGAACAATCATTAAATGCCAGGTAAGCAGATGGATTTTTGAATAGATATATTTTCTTAATTTCACGTGGAATCGAGTTGCAATAAAGGTAGAGATTGTGTTTCGTAACACATTCTTCTAGAAATTCTAGGTCAGCAAAGATTGGATGTGTTGATAAGTCACTGATCAAAAATAAACACTTTGGGGATACCTTGATCAAATCACAATCTAATTTCAAAGTTTCACTAGCAAATGAAAATGATTGAAAATCCTGCTCAACCGCTTTCATCACTACTTCCTTGTCGTTCCAAAAATGTCTAAGGTATTGTAGTGAGCTACCAAATTTCCCAACACATCTCAATGCAAAATTCTTATTTTGCTTAATCTCATGAGATGAATGAATAATCAAGTGAAATAGCCCTCCTGGAGTGACGCAATAATCAATCAGTAATGTTACTTGTTCTAAGTTTGATCTTATTTCTATGGAAGCATATCTAAAGAGTTGAGGATTCAACCTCATGCATCCCTTAATCATTTCAAAATCATTTTGACAGCTTTCATCGAAATATTTAGATGGTTTTTTCAGTTTGGACATCATTTCTCTAATTAAATTTCTGTCTGTTGAATAGAGTCTTAATGCCTCTTCTATTGATTCATTTGGGGCTAACAGCATTACATCCTTGTCCAGTCTGTATTCAGAATCTAAGGGAATCAATAAATAGTTTTTTGGATTATAGTTGATTAAACTAATTACAAAATCTTTAGATGGAATATCAAATTTGATATTCTCTTCTAGCAATCTTGAATAAAAATACATGTCACTCCTCAAATTAGATCCAATATATTGGAGAGTATCTGTAGATTTCTTAACAGCCTCAAGTGCCCAAACAGACATATTCCTCAAATTTTCCGTTGCAAATTGATATGCATTTACATTATTAGAAAGGGCTATTTCTACAAAGGACCATTCGTTTCTTAATTTCCCTGAAGCAAATCTCAAATTCATTCCATCAAACTCAATAAATTCTTTCATAAATTCTTGGTTTCCTCTCAATGAATAACTAGCCCTAGATAAATCCACCTGTTCATATTGATTTGCATTAATCAAACAACCATACATTTCCATAAAATCCTCATCGTTAAGAATAATATCCTTTGTTCGTTCTTCCTCCAATCTGTCATATCTTTCCAATACTATAGCTCCATATTTTGATGAGAGAATTTCACGCTTTTCACTCTCATCCAAATTCTCAAAATTATCAAGGAATTTTCTCGATACTTTCTCCATCAATTCAATTTCCTTTGTAAAAGAAATTGCTGAAAGTTTCGCAAACAGAGTAAAATTATTTTCCACAATTTTGTAAATTAATTCTTCATCCTTCACATTCAAAGGATAGATTCTAAATTTTTGCAACATTCTTTTTGCAAATTCTACATCATTGGCAGCCACTATCGGATACGGATTGATAAAGTTCAAACCAAGGTGACTCGTAATTATTTCATAAATTCTCGCATCACAAATAAATTCAATCGGAGTGAGTTTACTAATTGGAGCATAATTTCTCATGAATTGCAATTGATCTTGGAGAGAACTTTCATAGGTGGCTGCTCCTTTTTGTTGATTGAAAAACCTTCTTGTGAGCAAGGTGTGAAAATAATTATTGGGCTCAAAATCTAACACAGTAAAAACAATCGACATTTTTTTTGATATTGAAATTAATTTATTCATGGTGAGATTGATCGTGGAATGGTTTCGATCAATAGAGATGACAGTTCCATAAATTGAGTTTAAAAAAATACCATTCCAGGAATATATTTCTTTAAAAGCTATTGTAAAATAAATATTCTGATCTATTTGTCATTTGGCTAATATTACTCATCAAGTTAACACCGTAATCAGTCATGTCATTATTAGAAACATCAAAGATATTATAATGTCTCAAACTTTCCACATTCTCTGAGAAGACCTCAGCTCCTCTATCACAGATATTGTTATCATACAATACAAGGATGGAAAGATTTGGCAAACCACTCTTGCTCACAATGTATTGTGCTGATATTGCTGTAATGGTGTTACCACAACAAAACAATGAGACTAAATTATTAAGATAAATGCTGGAACAAAGCAGTTGAATGCAATCATCATCAATAATATTCTTGAAATTTTGAATTTCCTGAGAGTTACCCAAATTAAGGTAGGCCAATTTTGACATGGTCTTACAGGATGTCAAGTACTTCACTCCATCTATTCCAATACCATTATTTTCCACATCCAAACTTCTTAGGTTGCAACAGTTTGTACATATATTGTAAAGGCCCTCATTTCCAATGTTATTGTCACATAATATCAATTGGCTCATGTTTCTCAAGATGGTGCTATTAAAAATAGATGGAAAGCCAGTTAGTGAGCAGGAGAACATTTTCAATTTTCTCAATTTCTTCAATGATTCGGATTTGAATAAAGAACTCATCATTTCCAATGTTATTACAGAACAGTCATTCACTTCAATTTCTTCAAGATTTCCCAATACCTTACTCGTACCAATTTTTTCAAATAGTTCATTATCTATGAGTGTAAATATTTGGAGAGACTTGGTTGTTCTAAAAAAATTATGGGAGAAGGAGTGTATTGAATGAATACCAAATTTAGGACAGTAGGCTTGAATCTTCTCCAAATCATCTAAACAATCTAGCCCGTTAGGATAATATGAAAACAATAATTCCATGCCCTTCTCCTTACTAGTATTGAGTGCTTTAACAGAAGAATTCAATGAATGAAACCAATTATTTCCCAATAACGAGAATAGTTTCAAATTTTCAAACTTATCAATTAATAATTGACATGTTTCGTGTGCTATAAAATTTGATTCCAAAATTAGCTCCTCTAAATTTCTCAATGTAAAGCAATCATTTAAAACTAGAAAGTCTTGGCCAAGACGATTTTTGCTCAAGTTCAAATATTTCAGATTTGAAAGCTTATTCAAAAGTGGGATAATGTCATATTTTTTCAATGAACATTGAATAAGTGATAAGCTTGTGATAGTATTGTTCTCTACACAAGCATTGCAATAATCTTCTATCCGTTTGTATTCTGTATCCTCAAATAACAATCTTTCTAATTTGCAAATTAGTGTAGAGGTTTGAGAAATCTCAGTAACACTTGAACCATTACCCAAACTCGCACTGAAATCTCTCAAATTATTAAAAGCAGAATGATAAAATATATTATCCAAAGTTTTCGTTGTAATTCTATTACTTCTGACATCCAATTTTGTAAGATTTTGCAAATTCTTGCACGATGTAAGTAATTCCATCATGTCATCATTTAGAGAACAATTCATTAATTCCAAACTTTCAAAAGTCAATGTCAGTTTTTCATCGCTTAACAAACAATTTAAATTCTGCCAATCCAACACCACATAATTCAAACACAAATGTCTCAAGCTTTGCAATCTGCTTGTCAACGTTTCAAAATGACAATAATCTATACAATTAAATGACAAATTCAACATTTTAACTTTCTTGAAAATCAACCACTCATCCATCCTATTACCAATCAAATCATAAGCTCCTCCGTCACCATCATCATAACATAAGAAATTATTTTCGTCTTTATATAAATTACCAGAAAAATCAAATTTCCATTCCAATCGTTCAGTGATGATTTTGTAAAATTGTGATGAAATAGAAACATAGGATTTCAAGGTTTCCGGTGAGATGAATGTAAAAATTGAATAAATGACATCATCAGGAAGGTATGTTTGGTCTTTCATTTTTTTGAAACTTTTCGAGCTTGATATCTTGAGTTTAAAATCTATTTTAAATTTAAATTCTAAATATTTGGGTTTCCCAGTTTCTTGTTGTAAAGGGATAATAAATGGTGAAATATTACTCACCCATCAACCAATCAGTGACTAAGTGAAGCACTGACAAAACCAAATAACCTTAAGAACCACAGCTCATTTCAACAAGTCCAAAACCAATCAAAAAAACAAAGACACAACAATTAAACTGAACAATGGCCAAGTGTGACTGGTGTAGTTTCAATGCTTCAACTTTGGGTTCAATCTCTTGTAAGAATGGTTGCTCTCACAAGGTTTGTCCTGGATGTAAGAGTTCTCCTTCTGGAAAGGTTGGATTGAAATGTCCAACATGTGGTAAACCAGCTGGTTGGTAATTGAATCTGATGATCAATATGACAAGAATTGTAAATAAAGTTTCTTCTTTATCTAAACTGTTGGAAAGTATTTTAAATAGTTTTGTAAAAAATTGTGGAGTGATATTTAGGCCTTAGTAGCACATTTTGTTCCTTTCCATCCCTCATTACACGAACACTTTCCATCAGTAATGCAAATTCCATGTTTCGAACAAACCAATGGATTCGAAGCTCCATAACCAAAACAAACGAATTCTGTCGTTTCACATTCATTTCCAATTCTTCCTAGAGGACAAGCACATGTATCTGGACTAGTACAATTACCAACTCCACTACAAACTAATCCACTTACAATTTTTCCATAACAAATTGGTAAGGAACATTGAGTAGCTCCATAACCAGAGTTACATAGACAAGTATCAGGAGATATGCATTGACCTCGATTGGTACAATTCAGGGAACAGATTGGAGTGTTACAAGTTTCACCAATCCATCCTTGGTTGCATTGACATGTGAAAGGAGCTGTACAGTTGCCATTACCATTGCAAGATTGAGCACAGAATGGTGGTTCGTAAATTCGTTGATGGAGAGCATCAATATCTGGATCAGAAACTGAATCACCACAAACAGATTGAAAACCTGAAATGTCAGAAGGTAAAATTGGACTTGATGTCAAGTTGGCATCTGTCATTTGGGCATATGATTCAGTAATGAAACGAACATCATCCATAATAAACTCTCTATAATCCAATGTGATGTCATCAACTGGTTTTTGCATAAAGGTTACTCTTTGAATTGAGTTCAAACCTGTTTGATTTGTGAAAGGAATGTCACTAACTGGAATTCTGACACGAGTTACTCTTGTGTGATCAATCTTGAAATGTTGAATATACTTTGGATCAATGTAAATTGCTGGAATATCAGTGAATGCAGTATTCTTAATTTCAGAAAAGAAAATATTCAAATTTAATTGACCTTCAGAAATGGATTGGATAAAGAATTCGAAATATCTAAATTTAGAAAGGTCAATTAATTGAACAGGGCCTCCTTTAGTATAACTTTTAGTAATCTGAACTTTACCCATTCCCATTCCAAATCTAATACTTGTACTTCCACAAATTGCTGCGGTTGAGTAATCTTTCTGAGCTAGTGGAACATCTTGTTTGGCTACAGTTTGTAAAACCCATCCAGTTTGAGTTGAGATATCAGTCGATTCACTGTAGAACTTGAACATGTCATCAGAAGAAATAGCTCCACATGGTTGACTGGCAGAAATTGAAATAGGAAGTGAACATCTTGGTGTACCAAATTGAGTAATACCATTGTTACAAAATAATTGGGCTCTCAAATGACCATTTGGATTAGTACTTGTTCTCAACAAGACGAAAACTTCTCCCTTCAAAAGTGAGATAATTTCATCATATGAAAAATCCATTGAAAATCTTGAAACTGAATAAGGACTTGGATAAATTGATGGTTCTTGTAAAAATCTGACAATTTCACCAATTTTACCAATTCCAACTTGAATTTGAGTTGCTAAATGAGATAGATCATGATAAACTGTAAAATCAACTGTTCTCTTATTTGCTAATAAGCCAGCAAGAACTTTACCGTTTCCTCCAGCATTGATCATGCTTGAGCTTACTTGGCAAGGTTGTAAAATTCCAGAGAATCTTTCTTCAAGAGTTACCTTTTTGATTCTATCAATGCTTGCGGTTGGGAAATCCCAATTATAGACTTGACAATTATTATTTGGACATGTGGCAGTGATTGAAAACTTGGTGGAATAACCAGTATATAGAGAATATTCATCATAATATTCAGCAAAGGCAGTTCTTCCACCAGTGTTCTTAAAATGCAAGAATAAATGTTCAGTTTGATTTTCATAGAAATAAGAATTTGGGTTGACCATTAAATCGTCAATAGAATTGACACGAGGCAATGCTCTCTGACTCATTGATGCTGTTTCATATCTGATATCGAGAACGGCAGTTCTTGGATATTGAACAGCTAATACAATCCAATCATTATTTGCAATCGATCTCAAATAATATTGCAAGTCATTTGGAGTTCCAATATTTAAGGCCCATCTCAATACATAAACATTCTTCAAAACTAAATTAGAATCCATCCAGAAACCTCTTGTTCCCATATTCCATCCATGTACTTGATCATATTTACCAGGATTAGAAGTATCGTGAATGAAAAGTCTTGGCATTTTAACAGTCAACTTGTTAAGGTTGGGATCACTTCCAAGAGGTGAACTAGTTGAGAAACCTGCATAATTGACAAGAGTTAAAGCACCGTAACCTTCTTTAAAGACAGGACAATTATAACTATTCCAATCTGGTTGAGCATTACAACCTGGAACAGTCAAGAAAGAATTATTAGAAACTGACCATCCCCCTCCGGTGAATCCTGTCTTACTTCCATCAGTATCCAAAACAGTCATACCTCTATTACCATCTGTAGGTGCTTCCAAGTAGAATGCACTGTTTGAATTTACAAAAGTCAAATTTCTCAATCTTCCTCCAGTTTCGTATTTGAAATTAGCATTTGACAAGTTTGTAATAGCTCCTGCCTTTCTATACGAATTGGACTTGTAATTTCTAAATACGGTATTTCTTACGTAGGAAGGTCCTCCATTATCATAAAACTCATATGCCTTAAACTCCTCAGTGTTAGAGAAGAAACCAGGATAGGAACGTGAAACATCAATGCCAGCTCTGTAAGTCTCGCCTACATTATCACTTTCCGCCTCAAATACTGAATCTTCCACAACACTTGGTTCACCAGCGACATCAATACCAATTCTAGAGTCACCAACAAACATATTTCTCAAAGTAATTGTGTCTGCTCTCAACCACAAAGCCCACTTTCTAATTTTGAAAGCAACAAAGTTTTCAATAATGCTTTCAACGATGGGTTTACTTTTTGAGCCACGAACTGGATAAGGAGGTTCTACAGGAACCCAGGTGTCATTTTCAGGAAATCCATTGACATCTACAAAGTCATCAATGTGAAGACCGACATGATTAGCAGAGTGAACAACGTTATTCTTGAATGAACCAAGTGGAAGCATTCTAGGTCTAATCAATGTGGTATTGGCATATTTATCTTGAACTAGACCGATAGCATACTCTGGAAGTGAAAACCAATAGCCAAATTTACCACCAATAGCTCTGTTTCCCTCAAAATAATTCATTGCCTTTTGTTGTGTAAGAATTGTGTAAAATTAAGGAATTACTTACATTGGTAATCCAGAAAACTGATACATCGTTATCTGTAGGTATTATTTGAAGCGGGTCTGAATCGATAATTGGTAAAACTTTAGCTCCCAAATTATTTTTGAACAAGTTGTACATTTCTGATCCATTTTCCAAGAAAAAGGCATGTCCATTGATATTATAACAAACATTATTCTCAATTTGAATATAATTTGAATCATGAACAGTGATACATCTTTGATAAGAATTATAAATACTGTTATCCTTTAGAATAAAAGGTTTGACAGTAGAGTTCAATGCCTTATCTCCTAATAAGTGAAAGTGAATTGAATAACGTCCCATTAAACCCTTTAAAATATAATTGTTAATCATTATAATTCAATAGAATAAACTCACCTTTTGTCCCATTCGTCTCAATTCCACACCAACCATTTCGAATTGTTCAACAAGACGAATGATAACATGACCACCAAATGAAGAAGAAGCACTGGATACATCCCCTTCAAACACAATATTCCTATTGAGTTTGGCAACTTCTCCTCTTGTAACTCCACTTGCATAGTGAGTGAACAAGAGTGTTTGGTTGACTATAAAAGTAGTCGAGTTAATAATTGAAACAATGGTTCTTTCCTCACTCTGATCAGGAAATGGAACACCAACTCGCCAAGTTGGAAGGGTGACTTTAGTTTTATCTAGAAGTTCTCCGTAATCTGTCGAGGTCAATAAGATGGAATCGCCAACTTTCCAATTGGTTGGAGAACGAGTCTTGATAATGGTTGTTCCTTTGACGGCACTTTCAGCCAATTCTACCCAAGATAAACCATCAACAGAACCAACGATTTGAATGAAAGAACCTGAACAAGATGTAAAATTCATTCAAATGTCAAAACTTACCTGACATGGCAGCAAGACCTTTGGCTCCACCACTACTTCCATCAAATGGATCAATTCCAATAATATTGGAAGCAGTTCTATTTCCATAGAAAGTAACCACAATTTTACCAGTAATTGGACAACTAGAGCTGCCAGCAATCAATTTACCTCCCTTGTCAACTCTAATAAATTGGAGAGTCAAATTTAAATTGACATTGTTAAATATCAAGCTTGCATTTTGTTGGACAATAATTCCATACAACAAAACACCAGGTGACTTATCCAAAAGCGTATTTTGTGAAATGGTAATGGTAGAATTGACCTTGTTCCAATCAGCAATCGAAGAAAACATTTTCAAGCCAGATTGTTGATGTGGACATTGACCAACTACCATCTTTACATTTCCAGCTACTAAAAACAAGATAGTTATTAGTAGAATAGTTTGTAAGAAACGGTTTAACATTTTTTTTTGATAATCTTTGAGTTGACTGTCTCAGTTCAATGTGACTAGATTGAAATTGTTCCACAATGAAAAATAACAAGCACTTTCTAGTATGAACTTGTCCAGAACTTGAAAGAATTAGTACCTGCCATATCAGATATTCTGTATTTGTTAAAATCTTTGATAAGCCAAATCTTTTGAACTCCAAAACTGAACTCATCAACAAGCATTGTGAACATTTGCAATATTACAATTAACTAATTTACAATTCTGTACAGAGTTTCAACACCGAACTCAAGTGAATATTTTGTATCAGAGAGCAGTTTCCTTCAAGTTAGATAGAACTTGGATACATTCGAGGAGCTTTACAAAATAGAAATGCTCTCAACTGTGAGAAGTATTTTTCAATAGGAGATAGAATTACTTTCATTGTGTAGATGAATCTTGGCTGATGTTCTCCCTTTGCTTGTAGCATGATGAAGGTTGGTATTTGGCAGGGTGATATCATGTTTGTTGTTTTTTTGTTGAAAATTTAACGGTCAGAACAGGCAATTTTCAGCGGTTTTTTTGTTAGAGAGAAATTGCAGGACTGTCTACTGAAGAAAATCAACATTTATGAGTTTATGTTTTTTATTAACAAACTTTGAATTTTCTCAAATAAATTGGTTAGACGAAGTACAAGTATTTTCATCTTAGGCCAGTTTCAATATTCATTGTAAAGTTGGCATTCAAAATATTTTTAGATTTTATTTTTAGATTGTAGCTTCATGTTAAAAGTAGCAAATGTACAACCTTGAATTTGAAACAAAAGAAGAACAACAATAACACAATGGTCGTCCAATACCAAACTTCCGATAATCAATACTTAATCATTGTTGGTGAAAACGCCAAGGAAAACGACAAAATTCGTCAAGAAGCCTCTCAAAATGATTTGTGGTTTCACTTGGAAGATGTATCATCACCACACGTAATTTTGAAACCAAATAATAGTTCATCATCCTCATCGTCATTTCCTGCCCAGGCTATTTATTATGCCGGCGTGTTGTGTAAAGCCTACAGTAAACAAAAGGCCACACAAACTTCATCCGTTATTTATGCACCAAGAAAATCAGTCAAAACTGTAAAGGAAATTGACGGGAGAGTTGAAGTGAAAGGACATGTGGAGAAGATGAAGGTTTATCGGGATGATACTATCAAGGAAACATTGAAGAAAGTTGTTTAAATAATTCAAAATAGAACATGTAGACATTAGAAAACTATTGTTTAACAATTACTTGATGGTCGCTACTACCAATAAGCAAAATTATAAGATGAAAAGTTTTTCAACAAAAGCCTTCGGAAACTAGTAAATTCATCACAGGAAAAAATACTAAAATCTGTATGCACTAGAAAAAAAGATATTCCCTTTGAATATATTTATGATGATCCAAAATAAAATAGAAGGAAGATGAATACAGTATCCTCACAGATGTATTAAAATATTGTGTTGCTATTAAATAATAGAATAATTGTGGTATACACTTCGTGCCTTCATAGTATACTTCTGTGAAGGTAAGTCGCCTTTCCTATTTGGTGCGATATGCCAGCTTTAATGAAGCAACATATTTCAAAGTGTCATCCATCTGTGCATGGACTTCTCCAAATTCGATTTCATTTGTCAACTGGCCTGAACATCATTTGAAACAAAAAAAATGCAACAACCACATTCCAGAACGTTTCTCTATTTGCTTTTCATATTAATATTGCAAGTGTGTTTGCAAGTTCAACAACATTCCACCACACTAGCTGTCAACACATGTTGGGGATATTCAGCTACTGACATTTCGAATGTATGTGGAGGTCATGGTTTCTGTCAAAGTACTGATTCTTGCTATTGTGTAGATTCAACGAGTAGTAATACTTTATATTCATCAGGAGGATCCAACACTCTCTATCAGGAAACTTCTCTATGGTCCACCAACTCTCAATTCGAATTGAAACAACAAAATGATGGTAATTTGGTAGTTTATACGAGAAGTGGAGGAGTGGTTTTCTCTTTCTCAACTTGGCAACAAACACCTGATACTCCCTATACTTTAGTTCTTTCTGGGGATGGTACATTACAAGTTAAAAGTGGTGGAGGTGCCATTATAAAGACAATTTCAGGAGCATGTGGTGGTACAGCCCCTTACAAATTACTAGTCCAAAATGATGGTAATATAGTGCTCTATGGAGCACAGAGAGAAGTTTGTTTTGCTTCTGGAACATCTCAAGGTGGTTATTCACTTACGTATAATTGGGGTGGAGACCAGTGCAATCAATATCTTTGTTACGGGTTGACTGGTGCTAATGCATGTAATGGTCACGGCTCTTGTAATTCGAGGGATAGTTGCTCATGTAATAATGGATACAGTGGAAGTCAATGTACTGAGTACTACTGCAATAGTGTACTGTATTCTCAGATTGGTACAGTTTGTAATGGTCATGGAACGTGTACGGCTCCAAATACTTGTCAATGTACTGGTGGATATAATGGTACTTTTTGTGCTTCATATCAATGTTATGGATTTGAATCGAATGACCCAGGAGCATGTAGTGGATTTGGAACTTGTTCTTCACCAAATACTTGTACTAATTGTCTTGCTGGAAGATATGGATCTGAGTGCCAATATTATGATTGCGGTGGAATTAGATTTGATCAACCAAACGTATGCTCTGGAAGAGGAGAATGTGGTTCTAAAAACAATTGTACTTGTTCAGAGCCATACTTTGGAGATAATTGTGAAAATTTTATGTGTAATGGAATCATTAACAATTCTACGCTCGTTTGTTCAGGCCATGGAGCATGTTCTTCACCAGAGAATTGTACTTGCCAAGAGGGTTACTTTGGAGAGAATTGTGAATTGTTTGAATGCAGTGGAATTTTGAAAAATGAATCAAATGTGTGCACTGGATTTGGTAATTGCACAGCATTTGATAGTTGTCAATGTGATGAGCAACATTATGGTAAATTCTGTGAAATTAATATTTGCAATGGAGTACTCTCAAACAGTCCAAGTGTTTGCTCTTCACATGGTCAATGTAACTCATTCAATAATTGTACTTGTGATGAAAATTATAGTGGACAAAATTGTGAAATTTATGATTGTTATGGAGCTTCTAAAAATTCCTCCTCCGTATGCTCTGGAAGAGGAACATGTTCAGCATATAACAATTGTAGTTGCTCTGCACCTTTTTATGGATCTGATTGTGGATTATATAATTGTTTTGGAGTAGAGCACTTGAACGACAGTTCATGTTCATCCCATGGTTCATGTGATTCACCAAACAATTGTACATGTAAACCTGGATATTATGGAAACCGTTGTGAGTTTCATAATTGTTATGGCACTCTCTTCAACAGCTCAGGTGTTTGTTCCACTCATGGACAATGCTTATCACCAAATAATTGTTTCTGTGAAGCAGGATTCTATGGACCAGAATGTGCAGAATATGATTGTTTTGGAGTTCATAAGAATTCTTCAAATGTTTGTTTCCAACATGGAGCTTGTTTGAGTCCAAATAATTGTTCTTGCCAGGAAGGATACTTTTCGTTTGATTGTTCTAATCATAGATGTTATGGATATTTATTTAATGATACTACAAATGTTTGTAATGGCCATGGCTCATGTCCTTATCCAAATAATTGTACATGTCAATCAGGATATTATGGATATCAGTGTGAATCTCATGAATGCTTTGGAAAGTTATTCAATATCTCGACTGTTTGTTCCACCCATGGACAATGTTTGTCACCAAATAATTGTTTCTGTGAAGCAGGATATTATGGACCAGAATGTGCAGAATATGATTGTTTTGGAGTTCATAAGAATTCTTCAAATGTATGCTTCCAGCACGGTACATGTTTGAGTCCTAACAATTGCTCATGCCAAGAAGGATACTACGGATTCGATTGTTCTAATCACAACTGTTTTGGAATTCTGTTTAATGATACCATGAATGTTTGTAATGGTCATGGTTCTTGTTTTGTTCCAGATAATTGTACATGTCATCCAGGATATTATGGAAAAACCTGTGAAATGCACAATTGTTTCAATATTTTGTTCAATGACTCAAATGTTTGCTCAGGAAAAGGTCAATGCTTATCACCAAATAACTGTTCCTGTGTTGATGGTTTTACCAATAAGGATTGCTCAGTGAATATCAGTCCTTTCCAAATCAACCTCACAAAATACGAAGAAGTTGTTTATTTGGAGTTTGATAACAAGACTATTAGTGTTGAAATTCAATTGACAGATCGAGTATTGAGCCAAAGTCCAAATATTTCCTACACTTGGTCTTGTGCTCAGTGCGATGGACAAAATGTGGTGTATTATGTTGATTCTAATCGTTTGTTCATCAACTCTACATTAACTGATGTTACTCAAGCAGGCAATTACACTTTCATTGCAAACGCATCCATTGCTAATATTCAACCATTCCAAAGTAGAAAATCCAACATTGAGCAATTCAAATTGGTTGTAAAGTATGATTTGAATCAGCCAACTTTGGGCTCCTTTGGCTTACCTTCTGTACTTGTATCTAATACTCAAGATCAAACTATTTCAACTGTTATTAATAGTATCACTCTTAATCAAACAACTGTAAGATACTTTTTGGGTTGTGGTAGAAATTGCTCAACTTTGGTTTCGTATTTATACGAAGTGAAGGCTGGAGTGTTTTATTACAAAAAATCAGGTTCTGTAATGGCACAATTTGAGAGCTCTAATCTATTGACCTTTTCTCCATCTGTTCCTATTCAAGCAACCATTCCATCTGATTATTTGAATGAAACAGTCTCATTCACATTTACAGTTATCAATAACAAGCAACAGAATATCAGTTCAACTGTACAAATTCAAATTGTCTCCTCTGCAAGCCCACCAACACGACTGACAAACATAGTGGATGTTGTACCAACATATGGTATTTCAATGAGTGAAAAGTTTACAATTAAGGTTTCGGAGTGGGTTGCATCACCTGAACTGTTACCACTAAAATACGCTTTTGGATATTTTGATAAATCCAAGGCAGAAGCTGTGAGATTGACCGAATATGGTCTTAATACTACGTTTTCATCTTATCTACCTTATATTAGATCATCATCTAGCTCTAAGGCAAGAAGCATCTTGGAAGCTACAGAGACAATTGCTTTGGTTGTCTTTGTACAAGACTCTCTTGGAAATGTCGAAACTGAAACGGCAGCTAATGTAACAGTATCTCCATTTAATGGAACTCAAGAGCAATATATTGAGGTTGTTAAATCTTTGAGCGGAGAATCACTATTGGTTGCCTCAGTGGATCAAACATTCACAAGCTTAGCATCATCATCATTGGTTTCAGCCCTCATTTCTAATATTGAAATTGATCCAAAGAATCCTTCTTCTTCTCTTTCCAGCTTGGAAACGCTCACGTCCAACAATGAAACACTCACAGCCAATACAGTTACTCAGGTCATCAACAAATTGGATTCATTTATCTCCAATCTAACAGAGCTCTATTTAAGTGAACTTGCTCTATATGGCTATGTGAAATCCGGGATGTCCAGTACAGACATTAGCAAAACAGTTCAAATTATTTCGAACTGTTTCTCTACTTCATATGATGCCGAAAAAACCAAATCAACAGCAAGTCTCGTCACAGGTCTGATTTATTATGGAACTATTCCTTCTGTTGTAGACACAACATCCACAGAATTACCAACAACCTCTTACAAATCAACTTCTATTAACATTACTGTTTCTAGTTTCAACATGCCAACACCGAGTACGAATCTACAATCAGTCTCAGATACTGAAAGCAAGGTAGCAATGAATTTGACATCTATTTTGTCCAAATATGGTGCCTATTCGACAACATGTGGTGCAACAATGATAATTTATTCAAAGAACACTAATTATGATTCCTCTGTTAGTAACATGACTATCAGTTCCTCTGTTACTGACTTTAAATTCATGAGAAAACTGGATATTTTAGTATTGAAAAATTTGGATTCACCGCTCATACTTTCCTTCAATGCAGCCACAATCCCAAGCTCAGTGATCGCCAACTCCACAGTTACCAACAGTACGTATCATTGTAAGTATTGGGATGAGAGTCTTAAATTGTGGAGCAGCAATGGATGTTTATTGAATAGAGTTTCATCAAATTCAATTGAATGCGCTTGCTCTCATACAACTATGTTTACAACTTTCCTTGAATCCAAGACCACAGCACTTACTGTTCAACTCAAGGATCAGGTTTCGTCTTTATACTATGCCCAAATATCATTCGGTATTATTTACTTGATTGCCGCCAGTGCTATTTTGGTTGGATTGATTGTTTTGAGAAAATCGCAACCTGTTAGCTCTAGATTACTGACTCCATATGTTGGTTTGATTGCCTTAATTGTGGAATGTACATTGATTTACATAGTACAAAGATCTGTTCTCGTTGATCAATTGAACTCTGCCAATACTCAAATGTGGGAAAATGGAGATACTGCTGCCAACATTATTGCAAACATTGTAATGATTATTGTAAACACTCTCAATTTAACTGCCATTTTCTGTTACGTCATGCAAGTTTTCAGATTCCAATTCATGAAATTGCTTTACAAGAAACTTTCTGATAATAGAACTCAAGCTCAAAGTGCAACAGTTTTGAAAGTATTGAAGTATACCACTTCTCAAATATTATTTTATTCATTGATTGGAATTTTTACTGCCCTAAATATTGCCTATTGGGTTATTTGGGTCATTCTGAGAAGAACTGGAGTTCTCACATCAACACAGTACACCTATGTTGTATCCCTTTCTTATACGGTTTGCATTTTGGCATTTGGTTTGATAATTACTGCTGTTGCAATCCTTGACATGATTCTCTCCTCAAAGAAGGAAGTTGAGCAAAAGAAAAATAGAAGAAAAGCTATTAACTTTTCACAACCAACCAGCAACTTTAGTCTTGATAATGCTGAAAATGTACATGAAAAGAAGAAAATTAATAGGAATGTATTCTTGAATGCTTTCAATTGGTTTACATCAATGGATGGACCACTCTATTTCAGAATGGAAATGTTCATTTATATCGTGTCTTTCATTTTGCTAATATTGAATCAAGTTATTGGATTGAGTAGCTTAGCATACAGATTTGAGAGTTTGACAATGTTTAAACTTGCTTTGACTTTTGATTCCATTTCCTTCATCTTTGAGGTACTCTATGTGGTCTCATATATTTTAGTATTTGGTGGTTATGCACTCATTGTCGCAATCATTTACAAGGTTAGACAACGTAGAACAAGAAAGGAAGAACAAAAGAAACAAAATGAGGAAATTATGAATCAAGAACTTTACAATACTTTGGAATCTGAAGAAGGTTATGAACTCTTTGCCAACTTTTGCGAAAAAGAATTCAGTTCAGAAAATCTATTCCTCTTCTCTGATATCAAAGCAAGTCCAGATGTGGCCTCTGGTGAAAATCTAGGAGGATTACTCTTCTTTGCTGAGAGAATTTATGAAAAGTACATCAAGACAGGTGCAGAAATGGAAGTTAACATTCCATCAAAGAGTAGAACTGCTTTTGTCCAACTCTATGAAAAATGTAAGAAAGTTGAAACAAACTCTTCATTGGAATTATTAGATTCTAATTCTCTAGCTAAATCTGGAATTGAAACCAATATTGTAAAGGATTGTTTCGATTTAATGATGAGACAAGTAGTAATGAATTTAGGAGATACCTTTTCTAGATTTGTTTTCACACCAGAATATGTTAATTTCAAGGCGGTTAGAGACGTTCAAATGCAAATTATCGAGAAGGCCAATGTTGTCTATGATATTTAATAAATGTAGAGTTTGAAATATTTTATTGATCTTTAATGCCGATGGTAACTGGTTGTAAAGTGACTGGTTGAGTAACCATACCTGGTGGATTGATAGTGCCGTAACCTTGTGGCATTGGTTGACTAGAGGCTGATGATGGTGTAGGAATGAATTGTTGCTGTTGTGGTGGAACTAGCATTGGTTGTTGTTGATACGGTTGACCATATGGTTGTTGAATCATCATTGGTTGTTGGGGTGGCATTGTCAAATTAGCTGTTCCAGTATAAACCAATCTCAATACGATACCAGTAGAAACATGAATCAATTTCCATTCGAAACCATTGCTAGTCAATTGAGAATTATTCAATCCTTGGAACATCTTATTCACTTCTTGTTTAACTTCAAGTTGTTTTTGCTGTTGTTGATAAATCATGTAAAACATTACAAAAATATAAACAAATATCCACAATCCACATGTCAATACTATCAAAATAATATTGATCATCATTATCATGAAATATTTGCTTTTAATCTCACCAACAGTCCTATCAAGATAAGTATTCAAACTATTCATCGTGTCAGTAAACAATTGTCCATCAAGTGAATACGATTGTACCAAATTAGGAGCCAACTGATTATTGAAAGTTTTCATAGTGTGAGCGTAGGAATCTTCATAGACAACTTGTTGTCCTGGTTGAATGGCCAAAAGTTGTTGATCCATTGCCATGGCCATAGCAGCACGAGCTGCATAATTTCCACCATGATGATGATGGTGATGGCGATGGTGATGCATTCTTGTCATTTTTTTTAACTGTCACTCTGAACAGGTTCATAGATGGTTCTATTTAGAAGATAGATCACTTTTTTACAATAACTATTTTGTAAATGGTTTAAGAACAGTATTATAATTTTATTTCCATTTCCAAATTTAAGGTTCTCTAAATTTAAATTGAATATTTATTAAAAAAAATGTCGCAACAAGCAACAATTGATTCATCATCATCGCCAGCAAACATGTATTTTCCGGTGCAAACAAAAATTTCATGCCTCTTTGAAATTGAATTTTTAGAGAAGGAGAAGAAAGTTCTTGCTGTCAATAGATTATATAAGAAGGTTGTTAATTTACCAACCAATTCTGATGATATCCGAGTGAATCCGACCATAAAAATTGATGGCACTTGTTGTCTTGTTCGTCAAGAGAAATTATTTAAACGTTATGATAGAAAATTGAATGCTTCGGGATCGAAGAAGAATAAGCAATTTCAAAAAGAAATTTCTCAAGGTACTGCCGATACTAATATTTTACAATTTGATATTTCAAAGGATTTTAAGGAGGGACCAAAAGGATGGATACCTTGTGATAGTATTGCTCATTTATTTACTGAGGAGAATAATTCAAATGTGGTTTCGTCTCAACATTTAGTGGGATGGATTCCTGTGGATTCTAATGATGCTGCAGATAAATGGCATTCTTCTGCGATAGTTTCGATTAATAATGAGCCACATGCCATAATGTTAATTCCCTATTTTGACCAAAATGATGAACAAGCCAAGTTTTCAGTTGAATTTAGAAAGTTATCAAGTTTAGAAAATCAAACATTGGAATTAATTGGATCAAAAATTAATGGTAACGTTTATAACTTTCCTGCAAATGAAAAACAACACTTTTTAGTTCCACATGGATGGGCTTCCTATTCTTGGAAAGCAAGTAATGCATTTTTGGAGAATGTTAAAGAGCTCACCGTGGAAAAGCTTAAATCTTGGTTCGAAGATGAATCCAATATCATGAGTAAAAGTGAAGGTATTGTATTTCACATAATGTACAAAACAGAGGAAGGTAAGGATAAGGAAATGCTGATCAAAATACACAGACACCACCTTAATTTGGATTGGCCTTTGAAGGGCTCTGCCATTCCACAATTTCAATATCAGTTGCAATGGATAGAAGAAGTTTTGAGACTCAAGAGTGAAAATAAACTCTAATATTATTTCTTCTTGCTGAATTTTTCTTGTAATGTGTCATTCATCTCAATGGCTTCTCTGGTTTTTTCAGGTTTTAATTTATAGACACTATGATAAATAAGTCTATCAAATATTAGAATTTTTCTTCAATTAATATTGTGAAATACTTACTCGGGATAATCTTTAACAAGATTTTTCCATGTAGGACCGAATCTTTTTTGGGCCAATTTCTTGTTCCATTCCTTCTCCAGTCTCTTTCCTTCTGATCTTGGTGTGTTTAAAAGCACAAGTTCGCAAACATCTTCATTACACATCTCGTCTATTGACATACCATTCAAAGACTTGAAAATGGCTGTTAACAGTCTCTGATCATCACAATAAGGTCCAAATTTCATAATAAGATTAACAAGAGCATTGGTTGACACTCCCCTCATTTTTTCTCCTTTAACAATTCCTGCATTGGATGAAGAAGGATCTGAAGGAGGGTGATTAGTTTCGACTGGAACAGTACTGGCACTAGGGCCATTGGATGCCTCAGGAACACTCTGTTGATGACTTGTACTATTAAGATCAATTGGTGGTACAGAACTAATTGGAAACTCGATAATAGGTTGTTCTTGAATTTGATGTTGTAGAGATTGAATTGGTGGAGGAAGAATTTGATCATTGGTTGGATGTGGAATCATATTGTGTAAATGTTGAGGGTGTTGAGGGTGTTGAGGCATTGATGGAGGCATTTGGATAGTGTGTTGGATCATTTGGGAATGTTGGATTGCAAAATCATTGAAAGATGGTCCAACAGTGGAAGCTGAAGCTCCAAATTGTTGGAATGGATAACTGAGTGCTCTGAAGTGATCTGGTGGAGGTAGTGAATGAGGATGAGCACCTATTGGAATTGGTTGATTTTGCATGTGCAAAGCATGTTGTAGTGATGCACTTGGTGGAGTTAATTTTGTTTTGGATGGATGGCTGTGACGTTTCTTCTTTTTCATTCTTTCAACAAACTTTACAATCTTCTTTGAATCACTTATGAAAGGTTGTGTCTTGTTTGATTTTTTAACCTTTTTTGGTGGTGGTGTTTGAGAAGATACCTCGGTTCTCAATGTAAGAACTGAATCCATTTCCAAATCAGAAACTTCTTCATCATCATCAGAAGATGAATAATAAAGTGAAGGAGTTGGTGCACTTCCTGTTAATTTTCTCTTTCGTTGTGTTTTGACTGGTGTGAGTGTGATTTGGCTAACTTCATCAGAGTCGCTGTCACTGTTCTGCTCACTTGCTCTTCCATTATTTGGTGATGGATTAGTAAAGCAAGGAGGTGGTTGACTACCAAGAAAAACCACATCATCATCCGAGTCATCAAAAACATCAGAATTATTTCCTTCTTCTTGTTGAACGGGTGTCAAGGCTTCCTCCTCTTGTACTACTGTTGTTCTTTTTGGTGTTTGGAATGATGGTGATTTACCAAAGGTAATAATGGGACTAATTTCTTCTTCCTGTTGACTGTCGGGTACTATTGAATTATTAATTGTTTGTTGCTGTGTTATTAATTGATTATTATTATTTGTTGGTTGGCTTTTACCATTTGCTAATTGATTATTATTATTATTGTTGGAAGGTTTGTTATTATTTCCTACTGATGGCGATTTTGAATTATTTTGTTGTTGATGGTTAGTTGTTGATAAAGATGAGGATGAGCCATTATTATTATTAGTAGAAGCACCACGAGGTTTTGGTGGAGAGTTGGAGACGAGATTCGGAACAGTAAACAAATCACCAAGACTCGATAGGGAATGTGAGACTGACATTCTTGTGCTGTAAAGCAAATGAATTTTTTTTGCTTGAGATTTGCTGAATTTTCAGAAAGCATATTGTTTAGCAGTTTGGTAATTATTTAATAACTCAAAGTTTTTTCCTACGACAAAGTTTTGTGACTGGAATCCAAGAATACTGTATTAGAAAGTTGACTGTGGATTCAATCCCATCTGATGTGTTCCAATATTGATTGACCTGATGGTGACTTAATTTTTGAGCTTTTAATTCATGTCTCTTGCAAAAATTTTAATATTTTTAAATTAAAAAAAAATGAAGAGAAACATATTACCAAATGTACTTCACTTTCTTCAAAAACAATCAGAGGGCAAGATGTTGTTAACAAATAAGTCCAACAACAAAACTTTTAATTCAAATACTTCTTCTCTCAATTTCAGTAATTGGACCTCAGAACAAGTAGCAAAATGTCTTTCCAAACCTAAGGAAGAAGGTGGTATTGGTTTGTCTGAGAACCAATATGCTCCACTCATTAAGGCAAATATTGACGGACTTGTTCTTGATATTATTTACTCATCAGCTGATGCTAACAAAAGACAAAACATTCTTCCAAAATTTGGTGTAGAAATTACACCAGAAATTAAACAAGCCTTACCCATTATCATGAATTGGTTGAAATCTTACTCTCAAGAATCCTACTTACAAAGGATCAACAAGGCAGAAAATATCTTTGGAGTTCTGAATATTTCTTTCGAATGGCAAGGCAATGGTTTAGAGAAAATACGACCTCCTTTTGTTGGCAGATATGAAGCAATTTTAGAAACCATAGAAACAATTTTCAAGCTTGGAACATATGAAAAACCCAAAATGTCACTTATTTCAACCACCATGGGAATGGGTAAATCTTCTTTTCTTTTTGAATGCATTAGTCAATTTCTAACTAGTAAGTTTTATATTTATTTTTCAACTTCTAATCTTTCCAGACCATAAGTTAATTAATAGCTTCTTATTTCAAACACCAATTAATGCAAATATTAATACTAGTAATCTGAAAAGGCAATTAGAGGTGTTTAATTCACCTGAATGCTACTTACGTGCTGATTTTGTTAACAAATTGAACAGGGCTTTTAAAATTAGACACATAATTCCTTTTAAGTGCAATACAAAACGAGTGGATGTGAATGGTTGTAAGTATCGAATTTTTTACTATTAGAAATATTATTTCAAAAGTGTTTCGTGAAATAGTGTTGGGGCAATTAGAATGCCTTTTTTTAAATGTTGCTATTAGAATTAACAAAAAAAAAGATTTAGTAATTTTCAACACGATGGATGAATTATTGGGTAATAATACACACAAATCTACTGCAAACTTAATACAGAAATTCTCGGAATTGGTGCAACTTAATGCACCTTTTGTAGCAGATATATTTGATATTCCCTATAAATATCAAACTCATCCATTACCTTTGATAATATTGGTAGATTCATTCCATAATATCAATATGGACACAAGTTCAAGAGGTTCTTTATACAAACTTGGCCAACAATTTTTTACAACTAATTTAGAAGTTTTAAACTTGGATAAGAATATATCTTTGTCTCTCATAATTACAGCAAACTCATTACCAAATCAGTTCGTCTCTAAAGATAATACAATATTTTCTCTTAAAGTTATTAATTTGGAGTTATTATTTGGGGTAAATATATTTCAACAAATTACAAACGATTTATTTTTGGCAAGCCTTAATAGAAAAATATTTGAGGAATTTGGAAGTTATTATTTTGCTGAAAACAATAATTACCTTTCTCCATATCTCTCAAAAATCATTATATCAATTTTAATCATGTGTAGTGGTAATGGAAGGGCAATAGAAATAATGTATAGAAAATGTGGTCAAGATATTAAAAATTTAGTTACAAAGGAATTGGCAATGGATATAACAACAAGGTTTGCTATTACCTATAATGCAGAGTACTTATTGATTTTACAAAAATGCAAAGAAGTGATTGTAGAATTTGTGACACATTTTGCAGAAAAAACCTTAGAACATTGTAATGATCGCTCCAAAAAGTATTTCAAGGTATTCAGAATAATGGGTATTACAACATCACCAAATCATTTATTATTTCCCTATCACTTTAATTCAAACCAGAACTTGACTGTTGAAGAATTACAAAGACTTGGATTGCTAGTTAAAATTGGTGTTGATGAAAAGAAAAGCAATGCAAGTTATGTGGGATCTTTTATGATGCTTGATACTTTAGATTCAAACAAAGAGATAATTGAACTGAAGAATTTAACAGAAGTATCAAATAGTGATTATTATTATTTACCAATATATTACAATGATCTTTTAACACCTTTTGCAGATCTTGGGAAATTTAAAAACCAAGGTGACCGATTTGAAAAAACAGTAGCTTCTTCAATATGGGCTAGGTATTACTTGGGCTGTATGGAATCTAACATACCAATTGGGTCAAGCATTCCAATTACAAAGATTCTCCCTTCTAACATGATACCTGATAATTGCTTACAAGGTTCGGTTTCTCTTAAAGGAGTGATAAAATTACACAAACCATTTACTGTGGAGTCAGATATTAACGGTCTTCCTTTTGATCGAGTGATCTTAAATTCTGACCAAACCGTATTCTCTGACATTATTTTACCTTTAACCGTTAATGGAGAACAAAGATTCATTGGTATTCAAGTTTGTTATGTAAAATCAAAAAGAACACAACCTAAGCCCTTAAAAATTGTAAGCAACATGAAACAAGTGTTGAATTATTCTTCTTTTTCGTACCTATTTATTTCCACTTACTTACCTCCAAGTATTCTTTTATTAGGTCAAGAAAAGGTAAAAAGGGTTAAGGATGGTCAATTTCTTTTTCAAAATAGACAAAAGTTTCAAACTGCCCTACCAGACAAACTTGTATCCTATTGGTGGAGCCAATTGATGTTCAAGTATTATCCTGAATTTTATGAAAATTAGTCTCGTCTTTGGATAGAAGATTCCATAGTGGACAAATTAGTTGAAGTAACATTAGTTTGTACTGTATGACTTTTTCACAAGGAAGCAAAGAATGTAAAGATTGAATAAATTTATTCCTCAATGGCACGAACAATAAATTCCTCCACAAATTCGAAAAATGATAAACTACCATCTAGTTCAAAAGGATTTTCATGATCAAAATCTCCTGTAAATGGATCCTTATCAGAGCTACCTGAATCTCTAATAAAGGATTGGCCATTACCAGCTCCATCATTGTTAAATTGGAGTACCTCTTTCTCCATATCCTCACCTGAATCCATGGGTGTCAAGAATTCTGATCTGAAAATGCCAGACTCCCAAGAATCTAATCTTATTCCAAAAGTTGTTAACCCATTGTTAACAGTATAGAATTTTGCTAACGAGGTTGGAATTTTTCCCCAACCATCAACTTCGAATTCTTCTGAATTCTTGAGTGGCGGTTCCGCAGAGAAGAATTCGAGCTTTTTTTCATTGAGAATATAGAGAAGATACCAAGTTTCGTCCTCACTCTTTTCTCTAGTTACATACAGTGATTTGACTTTTTCAACTAAAAGCTCAATAAGATCCGGTACCTCAGAGGCAATTGGTTTCCAAATTTCCTCAATTATTTGTGGAACTGTCTTGCCTTTCAAATGGGACCAAGGTGAGTTGACTTGATCAATTGGAGCCAAAACTGAAACCTTTTGAAAAAAAGAAGGTTCCAAGAGGTATGGTTTCTTTTCAAATTCAGCCAATGAACAATCCCTCATCCTAGATGTGCTGCTAATTTCCTTTGCCTGATCCTGCCATACAGAACGAACACTCTTATCTCCAACAAATGTTTGCAAAGCTTGTTTGCCATACTTGGTGATATAGAGATTCTTCCACACACTTTCTTCACTTGCAATCTTGTTGAATGATTTACAAGTTGTTCCAAACTTTGAAACATCGGAAGGTGTGAGATATTGTGAAATATGTGAAAAGATAAATTCAGTTTCCAAGATTGATTTGGCTTCACTAGTGAGAGGAGGCCATTTCTTTTCCTCTACAATTGGTTTCCTCTTCTTTCTTGGATTTTCGTATTCTTCTTGTTTTGCCAACTCCTCCAATCTTTTCTTTGTATTCTCCTCTTCAATCTTTTTCACCTTCTCCTCATGAGCTTTCTTCCACTGATCAAAATCATCAGTGGTGACTTGATCGGATGGCAACTTTTTAAAACATTGTGAACAATATCCTAAAGTTACACAACAACAACAACAATACGTGATCAATGATTATTGTGAATGACAACAAACCCTTGTTAGCTTCAGAACCAAAAAAACCACAACCTCCTCTGCAATTACTCATTTTTTTTAATTTTTGATTATATTTAAAACTCTTTGATGGCGGGAAACTGATATTGTAATCATGGTATGTAAATCCTGTTAATGGAGGAATATTTAAAATATTACAATAACAAAAGCTGATAATGATTCATAATGAAACTGACTTATTTAGAGTTTGATGATACATTGTAAAGTGCATCAAATCTTTTAGTATGAAAAGAATTTAGTGAGCCAGTTCTTTCACTACACTTGCAAAAATTTTATATTCTTGGAAAGTAAGATGACAGTCCTGATATGAAATTCAACAAGCTCAAAAAAAACTCGACTATTTAATTTAGAAAGTATCAATATCAACAGCCTTCAAAGTTTGACATTCTTCTCTCAAATCACTGAACAAGACAGTACTCAAGTAACGTTCACCAAAGCTAGGAATGATGGCAACAATCAATTTACCTTCATTTTCTGGTCGTTTAGCAACTTCCAATGCAGCATAAATAGCAGCACCAGAACTGATACCAACAAACAAACCTTCCTTCAATGCAGCTTCCTTAGCAAATTTAACAGCATTGTCAGAGTGAACCTTAAAGATTTCATCAATGAGGGATGTATCCAAAGTGTTTGGAATGAATCCAGCACCAATACCTTGAATCTTGTGTGGGCTTGGGGTATTTCCACTAATGACAGCACTTTCTTCTGGTTCAAGAACAATACCTCTAACCTTTGCACGACCTTCCTTTTCAGTTTGTTCATTGAAATACTTCATACATCCTGAAAAGGTACCACCTGTACCGGCTCCACTGACGAAAATATCAATTTTGCCATCAGTATCTCTGTAAATTTCTGGACCAGTTGTATTGTAGTGAATCAATGGATTAGCTGGATTATCAAATTGACCCAAAATGAATGAATTTTCAGTTCTTTGGGCAAGCTTTTCAGCAACAGCAACAGCTCCCTTCATACCCTTGGCAGCAGGAGTCAAAATCAACTTGGCACCAAGTGATCTCAAGACAACTCTTCTTTCAATACTCATAGAATCAGGCATGATAATAGTACACTATTTTTACACAGCATTTCACATGTGGTTAACAATTTGTTCAAACACAAACAGCTAATGTTAGTGTGATTAATTCTAAACACTACACATACCTCATATCCCTTGCTAGCAGCAATAAAAGCAATACCAATACCAGTATTACCAGATGTTGGTTCAATCAAGACAGTTTTTCCAGGTTGAATTTTTCCTTCCTTTTCGGCGACTTCAATCATTGACAAGGCAATTCTGTCTGTTAATAATAATATAAAGGATTCCAATTTGTACAACAGCAGTACAAGGATGAACATTGAATCAATCCATAGATCAATTTTTAATTCATCATCATCATCAAATTGAAATAGGAAATTAATTCCATCATCATGATCATCAATTGAAAACTATTAAAAACAATATGATCATCATCAGAATAACATACCCTTGACACTGCTCATTGGTTCCAAAGATTCCAACTTTAATGCAATCTTGGCTACAGCACCATGTTCCGCAGTGAGTTTATTCAAATATAAGAGTGGTGTGTTACCAATCAATTCAGTGATGGAATTAGCAATCTTCATCGTGTTTTTGAAATATGATACAAAAGGTGTGAGTTGTTTTTTTTTGATTTTTCTTGATCATTTCACGGATTCCAGGTATTTTTAGTGTGAAAGTTTCCAGGTCATGTTCATCAATCAATGAAATCAAGGTTGGAAGTTTCTAATATCACCGTGCTCAATGGGTGGAATAATTAAATGGGGAATTTTATTAAGAGTGTGTGGAATGGTTTTAACACAGGTTAAGGAAAATCATATTCAAAGACAACATCTGACAAACTGGAAGATTGAAGGGATTTGAAAAGGAGAGATTTCAATCTTTTTTCTGCTTCCAATTTAGTGTAATGATTCGAAAAGATGATGGCTGTTGAATATTGACCTGCTGCCACGAGTGATAGATTGGCGGTGTGTTCAATAACTAGCTCTCTATTGACACCAGGGGATCTTGGAATCATATCGTCATCATTAAAACCACATTGTGCACAATCATTGACACCGAGAGGATAAAACTTTTTGTCATCAATTACCAAAATGCAATGATAGTATCCAGCACTGATTCTTGAAACATTTTCCAATTTGATTTTCTTTGCATTTGGGTAATTTGATAATTTTTCCACATCTGTTTCAGGAAGCAAGAATCTAGTACCAAATACGTAAACTGTTCCATCTTTTGTCAAAATTAGAGAAAAGTCATAACCAAGTGCAATGTCCTTAATATCTGGTACGAAAGGTAGCTTATTTTCTGTTATTGTGAAAATATTATTGGTGTGGGTGAGACCTAGTTGGTTATCTTCATTCCATCCCTAAGTCAAGAAAATGGTCAATCTCATCAAATTATGATCTACTTACACAGACGAACAATTTAGTCTCCATTTCCATTGTTTTAACTAGGTAATAGACGTGAGAATATCCTGTAAAAATCTTTTCAATTGTCAGATTTCTTTCACTAAAAAATGTTTCCTTCCTTGGCACTTGCTTATCACTTTTGGTCGAAAGCTCTCCTCTATAACTCCATCCAAAGACAATCAAGTTGTTAAAATTGGTCTTGCAAATAGTACCTTGTCCTAAACAGTGTACAGAAACAATTTTTTCATATTGATCCAAATGATGTTCCACCTCGATTCTGTAACATTTTACATTATAGAACTGACTAAACATTCTAGATACCATATCTTCCATATTTACAGCTTCATGTGAAACACCTAGTCTGCAGTTTCCATTTGTACCGAATCCATAGAGCATATTCTCATTCTTTGTTAAAAACACACAATGTGAAAAACCAATAGCTACATCGATAACATTTTTCTTCAAAATGTAAATATCATTACTGATATTCTCAAAATGAGTATGTGGAATAGGCTTCTTAGAGTCTGATCCTTTAGGTTCAGCACAAATTTTACAAGCATTATAGGTAGATGGATTGTTGTTTCTATAATCGTTCAGAGTAATGATTAAATTATTTTCATATGTTATAAAGGCCAATCTATTTCCGCCCATCTTCACAACTTTAATTCCTTCTTGTTCTAAATAATCATAATTTACAGTATTCTTAAAATTTAATTTGGTTGGTAGACATTTACTAGTCCTAACGTTCAATCCCAATTGTTCATTTTCATTTCTTCCGAAAATAACAAATTCAATATTCATTTCCCTATGATTATTATATTATTTTTGATATTGATCAATAATTATTTTAAATAAATTGATGATGACGTGATGATAGGTTTCTCTCAAATGACGCTATTTTTTTTGTTGTTGTTATAAATAGATTGATGAATAACAATTTGGGATTTTCGTGGAATTCAAGATTGGGAAATTGAATGATTAGCTAATAATTCGAATAGAGCTTTTCGAATAAATTTACTTTATTTACAGTATCTGTAGATAGATAATTAATGATAGGTGGATTGTTGAGTGTTGACAATGTTTCTAACACATTGTTCGATACTATCGACGAATATATTCAAATCTCTTTCATGAATATTGAAGGGTGGAGTGATGAGAACAACTCTATCATTTTGTCTGGAATAATCTACGAGAATGTGATAACAGGTTGCCAATTCTTCATGGATTCTCTTGGCACTTACATGTTCATCGAAAATCAATCCAAGCATGAAACCCATTCCACTAACTTCCTTGAAATGTGGAATGCCCTGAAGTCTTTGAACGAGTGTGGATTTGAGTTGAGTTCCCATCACTGCAGCTCTCTGTACAAGATTTTCATCGAACATAATCTCTAAATTCTTCATTACAATTTCACAACATACTGGATGTCCAGAGAAGGTAAATTCATGAAGGAATGGATGTTCAATATTTGCCTTGAAGAGAACTTGACATAGGTGTCTTGCTAGCATCATTCCTCCCAATGGAAGATAGCCACTAGTGACTCCCTTTCCAAAAACAACAATATCTGGCTCAATTCCATAATGAGAGAGACCAAACCATTTACCAGTTTTACCAAATCCTGTCATGACTTCATCTGCAATGAGTAGAACACCATACTTGTCACAAATTCTTCTGGCTAATGGGAAGAAATCCTTATGTGGTTCAAGAGCTCCATTCACTCCTTGAATTGGTTCTGCAATGAATGCTGCAATATTTTCTGGACCTTCAAGTTTGATGAGATTTTCCAATTGTTCAGCAATGAAGAAACCATTATTTGCATGTTGAGTGTGTTTCTGGAAGGAATTAACAATAAAATCATGAGGGAAATCAATACTCAAAAAGATGCTATCCTTTGAGAAACGATCGGTTGGGCCTTTGAGATTCTGATAACCATACTCATCCTTTCCAACTTGCTCATTGAGTGAAGAGCTGACGAAAGTGGAGCCATGATAGCAATTTCTGAATGAGATAATCTTCTTCTTTGTTTGACTATTATTTAACAAGGACCAGTATCTCTCAGCAAGGTGGATTGAAGCTTCCACTGCCTCACTTCCACCAGATGTGAAATAAACCCTCTCCATGGACGGATACTCATGTTTGGTAATGGATACTAACTTTTCAGCACACTTGATAGCACTTGAATGAGAATAATTGTAAATATTGGGAGCAAATTCCATTGTTTTCATTTGGTTGTAAGCAACTTGAGCCATTTCTTCTCTACCATGACCAATATGACACGTGTGTAATCCACCAATCATGTCTAAATATTGAACATTGTTAACATCCCAATAGTAAGAGTCCTTTGCTTTTTGGAAGACGATTGAGTGGACACTACTTCCCAATTCATGATTAGAATGAATGAGAGAACGATTGTCACGGAAAACCCACTCCTCTCTGGATGGAGATTCTTCAGAACTGGATGGAAAGTTTGCAGTTGATTCCAAGAATGAAGAAGGAGCTGTTAAATCAGTGGAGAGTGGAGGTTTAAGTTGGTCCTGTATTGGATTTTGTTGATATAATTTGCTTTCGACCATTTTGTTTTGTCTTTGTTCAATGATGGTGTTCGAAACTGAAATGTTATCGAAACGAAAGTGTTTGGTTATTTAGTATATTTCCAAAATGGGAAAATTTCTTTCTTGAAATTTCTTTAGTAGTATTATGCTCCAGATAATTCAAGTCACAGTAAAAGGTTTCTAATAAAAACCATAACACATCTTAGTCTTAATCAAATTATTTGGGGTATATTTTCTTAATGAACATAAGCAGCGATAGATCAGTTGGTTAGATCGTAAGCCTAACACGCTTAAGGTCGCGGGTTCAAGCCCCGCTCACTGTATCCTTTTGCTTTTGAAAAATTCTTTATTTTTTTCCATTTACAAGATAAAATCTGTTTCAGTCTTAATTAGATTCTTACTTCCTTCCCACAATTCCAGTTGCTTGGAAACTTCGTAGGACTCATCAGAGGATGGAATAATTTCATTTCCATCATAGTAAACACCATTCGAAACCTTATCTAATTGTGGATTCACCAAATCGGCCAAATATCTCGAGGAGTTTGCGATTGGTTTTCTATATTTCTTGCCTTCTCCCTCAACAATCATATTGAAAAGCTTTGGATCCAAATATCTTGCCAAACTATTTCATGTTTTAACAATTCGAAACCAAACTGAAATACTTACGAAGTTTCTGGCATAAATCCTGGATTGAAACAATTGACACGAAAATGATTCTTAAATTCATCAGACTTATCCAATCTGTTTTTCAATTCGTAAGTAAATAAAATGTTACACAACTTTGATGTGGCATATCTGCTATCTCTTTTTGGAGTTTCTTGTGGTGGAATAATGAGCTTGTCAACTGGGCCATAGGTTGGTACTGGAACTGGAGTTCCATTCTTTGGGTCTTCTTTTGTTTAGTACTGAATTAAGGAAATATTCGAAACTTACCATGAGTATCACTCGTAACGTTTACAATAGAATTAATTTCGTCATTTTTGGCGAAATGAGGAATCAATAAATTGGTCAATAAGAAATGTCCCAAATGATTAACACCAAATACAATATCATATCCTTGTTTGGTTGTTGAAATATTTGGAGGTGCTTGAGTTGCAGCATTACAAATCAATGCTTTCAATGGTGGTAATTTTTCTTGATTGAAATTTGTTACAAAATTTCTGACAGAATCCAAATCTGCAAGATCCAACTCTATAAATGTCAATCTACTAGCATACTCTTGATCAATTTCAACAATTTGTTGAATAGCTTGCTTTCCTTTTGATTCATCTCTGCATGCCAACACAACATGCCACTCATCAATTTTATCACTCAACAAGTATTTGGTACTTTCAAAGCCAAGTCCACAATTAGCACCAGTAACAATGACTGTTCTCTTTCCTTTACTCATTTCTTGGAGTTTTTTTAATAAATTGTTTCTTGTTATCTCCGTAACCATTCAGAGCGCTTTAAGATGGGCTAGAAAATATGCGCTACTGAAATGACCGCTCACTTTATGGGTTTTTCTATTGGTCTGAATAATTCCTAGCACAAATTATGTACAAATTGATAATTAAGAGTCAATTCAATGATTCCGATATGATATCAAACCATCAAGTATTGAATGTACGTAAGTCCAGCTTACTTAGTGTGTTAATATTGAATTCTTTTAGTAGTTTGTGTAACAGCCATAAATTTGATCTCCAAAACAAACACTTGTTTGTGACGTGTCCATCATTATTTCACTATTTTTCATTATTCCCATAAAATTGATTCAGATCTTCTTCCTCAAGAGATTATAAAAAAAATGTGTACACCAAAGGCAAAGTGTTCATTGTGTCCACAAATTCAATGCAATCATCTTCCTCAATATTGTGTCTATCATGCATGGAACCACTTGTCGTGCCATCAATGTAATCAACCAATTGTTGAAATAATTCACAATTTAATCTTTTATTTCTATAGGAAAAGATCAACTGCAAGATCCGAAGAAGAAAACTCAGATCATGTTGATTCAATTAAAGATGCAGAAATTGAATATTTAAATGAACAATCTTCCGTTTATGAAATTTTAAGTGAAAATTTCATGGGAATGGAAAACGTTTTTTCACAATTCCCAATTCTGTCAAGATATTGGATGGGAGAGGAATTGAGAAGTGCATTGAATGTATTGTTGAGATATTTCTCAGATCATGATGAAGAATTGAGAGCTTTGAAATTGGCAGAATTTAAGAATGTCACTCTGGAATTGTTAGATAATTTCCTGAAGGAAAATCTGTCAGATCTATTTCTATATTTTGCTGTTCCAGATAATGGAAATATTCAATGTATTGAATGTGTTGAAAGAGGTCAATTGCAAGTTGTGGAAGAATTGAGAAGTAAACCACAAGAACAAGCTCTTGCTCCAGAGGATAACATTCAATTTCAATGGATGAATGATGATGAATTGGGAGTGGTATTCTCCTTTTTAGAGTTTCCATTTGATTTTCCTGTAATTTCTTTGACTTGTAAGAGATTGTATCATTTCTTGCATTATTCCTCCAATTTTTCATGGCTCAGTAATGTAGTGTTTCCTCCAAGAGGTCAACTTCAACTTTGCAGTGCTGGATCTAGCTTTAATTTTGAATTTTTTATTCGAAACATGTTCAGGACATATAGAGGTCTCACTAATCTTTCGTCCATTTCCAAAATTTACAACTTTTTTGATTCTTACTATTTCACAAATGGTCTACTGATCAACAAGCTATTCAGTGAAAATTTGATCACAGAGACATGTCTTGACACTCTATTTATCCAGGACTATGGAACTTCAGGTTATCTCACTTATTATTGGTTGAGAAAAATACGTAGCTCCAGGCGAGGTCCAATACGAAGGATTTCCATATTTGTCATGAGTGGAAGTAAGAGTTTATTCCAACTAATGATTATTTACAATTACTTGAAAAACAATAATATGGATCAGGAATTGTTAATTGACCTGATAGGTCCTTATCATATTTCTCTTTCTCTTAAATTATCTAATGATGATTTGAATATTCAGGAAACAGGACTACCAATCAAAATGGCAAATACCTTACTCGAAAGTTTACCAGGAGATTCAGGTTCCATTTTACCAATGGTAACTCATTTGGATTATTTCTTCATGAAAGATTATTCTTGGTTGGAGAAACATCAAGTTTCGAATGGTTTGGTCATTCGGCAGGTATGGGTTGATAGTTACATTCCAAATTATACTCAATTATTGAGGAATATGAAAGAGAGGGGAATAGTTATTCACAAAATAATTCTCCATCATGATTATTTGCATAAAGTAACCGAAACTGAACAAGAAGAGTTGCTATCAATTACAAGCAATATTGAGATTTGTAAACTTGCAAGCTTTCTGCCAGATCCACCTGTAGATAGATGGCCATTATCGAGTGTTATTCAGTAATTCGTGGGATATCCAACGGAGCTACAAATCTGAACACCAAAGAACACGATTACAAAAATTTGATATGTAATTTCCTTTTATGAGTGTTTTTAAGCTCCTTTAGAAACACCTCATGACCATTTGCTACTAATATTTAAACTACTCAACCAAACGAATAACATGTTAAATATTATTGAAAAAATATGAAGAAACAATTGTTGCTAATCTGTTTAATTGGTTTAATTCTTGCTGTTACCTATCAACATGCAGTTGAAGCCAGAAGAAAAATCAACAAACCACTTGACAAGTTGATCAAGTCTATCATTAGAGTTATTGAAGAGGAAGAAAGCATGTCTGATTCTTACATTCTTCCATCCATTGCTGTTGCTGATACTGCCAAAGCACTTGTTGGTCGTTGTGTCAATATCATTAAGGGATCTACTGAAAATGGAAAGCCATGTTTCAGAACACCTTTCGAATTTGCAGCTGAAGCTTACAAACTTGTTGGAAAGTCAAATCTTCCACTTGATGAAGATGGTTACTATGAAAGTTCAAGTGTTAAAAAGGTACCAAGATATGGTGATTTCAATTATGGTGATGTTCTTGTTACTAATGGTGGAAATACTGTTGGTATTTATGTTGGAGATGGAAAGATTGTTTATGCAATTAAGGTTAATTTTGTTACCAAGGTTGAAATGACAACAATTTCTGGATTCACTTCAAAGAGAGGTTTACCTACTGCTTTTGAAGTTGTTTAAATTAATATTTAAACATATTTGGAAATTACTCTTTTCAAAATAAAGTTAAATTTCCAAAATTAGCATCGAATTTATTACTTATTTTGATATTTTGTGGTCATTGCATATTCAATAGCCTTTACAAGTGAATTACCAGTTGTGCATGTTCCAGCAGCTGCAGTAATTTCAAATCCACCAGTTAACACCGATTGAGCAGCTGCAGCAGCCACACCAGTCAATCCTGCCAAAACATTCGATATTATGGCACTATCCATTGAACTTTGATAAGTAGCACACAAACTATCCTCTTCTGCATCATAAATGATACATGTATAGTTCCAGGATTTTGCATTTTCAAATCCTAATTTTGCTTCCTCAAAAATGTCGGTGTCTGTTTCAATGTAGGGCGTATTGCCAACTGATCGATAGGTTACTACTTTATATTTTCCCATTGTCAGTAGTACTAGTTGAATTGTTTTTTTTTTAATAATTCAATTTCAAGATTTTCAGTTTTGGGATTTTACCTTATTTGGAATATGATTAAAACAGAATTGAACGCATGTAGAAAGATAGTTTTTGTTTCATTGATTCAAATTCCATATTCCATTTAACAAATTATTTTACAAATTAAGAATTTTAAGAGAGGATAGAGCTGACAAATAATTAACTCCTAATTTTGTAATTCTATTATTATCCAAATATAGAGCTGTTAAATTGGAAAGTTTGTGAAAATCTTTCAAACTTTCATCAGATATTAAATTATTAGAAAGTTTTAAAATCCTCAAACTTGTTACTGAACTTAAATATTCAACTTTTTGAATGGAACAGAAAGATAAATCCAATTCTGTCAAATTAATCAAATTTACAAAATTAGAAAGTCCATTTCCAGTAATATCTCGCCTATCATTGCTACAACCGTTGAGTTTTAGAACTGTCAAGTTTCTAAAATTGGAGAAAAATTCCAGCAATTCATCGTTCCAATCCCAAAGACACCTACATTCGAACTTTTTCAAATTTACAATGGAAGTGAGAAATTTCAACTCTTCATCAGTATTACTAAAATAACCCATTTTCAAATCAGTTAAATTTTCAAATTTACAACCACCATGCAATGTCAATTCGAAAAGTTCAACATCAAGTTGTTGTAAAGTTTTACAAAATTTGCTTTCAAGAATTGAATTCCATGACGATTCAGACATTGAACTGAGAATGCTCAATTTCTCTAATGGCCAATCTACTTCATTAAATTTCAAATTCATTGCTTCTCCATTCGAAATTGTCAATGATTTGATTTTTGAATGATGACATTTCAAAAATTCGCCTCCAAATTGAAAATTGTGTAATTCCAAGCTTTGTAAACTTTCAATTTTCATGAATTTTTCCAAAAGATTATAGCTACCATCGTTGTAAATGATTAATTCTTGCAGATTAGTCAATTTTGAAACAATTAATTGTTCTAAATTAGCCAACCTCTTTCTCCTTTCCATTTCCTCCACTAAAAAGTTTAAACTAAACGATTCGATTGTTGCCGAAAATTTAGTAACCAAGTGTAACTTGTTAGAATCCATCAATTTTCGTTTTGCATCATTTTCCGATCCATCATAATTGATCATGAAATAATGAGGTCGAATGCTTTGATAATTTTCATTCCAATCTCTGCAAACTAATCTAACAGATGATAAAATCCACAAATAATCACAATAGGATAGAATTTCAAAAAAGATTACATTTATAGGAAGCTCTGATAAGTTTCCCTGTTTTAACATAGTTGATGCAAACGAATTTTTTTTGGAATTTAAATAATTATTATTTTCATTTATAAATTATTTCAAATTTATTTAATTACCACCTCTTAATCTCAAAACAAGATGAAGAGTTGATTCCTTTTGAATATTATAATCAGATAATGTTCTTCCATCTTCTAATTGTTTACCAGCAAAAATCAATCTTTGTTGATCTGGTGGAATACCTTCCTTATCTTGAATCTTTGATTTAACATTTTCAATTGTATCATTGGACTCGACTTCCAATGTAATTGTCTTTCCTGTTAAAGTTTTGACGAAAATTTGCATACCACCTCTTAATCTCAAAACTAAATGCAAAGTTGATTCTTTTTGAATGTTATAATCAGATAATGTTCTTCCATCTTCCAATTGTTTACCAGCAAAGATAAGTCTTTGTTGATCTGGTGGAATACCTTCCTTGTCTTGAATTTTAGACTTGACATTTTCAATAGTGTCATTTGATTCAACTTCCAAAGTGATAGTCTTACCAGTCAAAGTTTTGACAAAGATTTGCATACCACCTCTCAATCTGAGGACCAAGTGAAGGGTTGATTCCTTTTGAATATTATAATCAGATAATGTTCTTCCATCTTCTAATTGTTTACCAGCAAAAATTAAACGTTGTTGATCTGGTGGGATTCCTTCCTTATCTTGAATCTTAGACTTGACATTTTCAATAGTATCATTGGATTCGACTTCCAAAGTGATAGTCTTTCCAGTTAATGTTTTAACGAAAATTTGCATTGTGTTATAATTATTATTAGTTGTTTTGATTTGTTTTTTTTGTATTGATGAAGAAAATTAATGTTTTTAAAGGTTTTAAAGGGATGATGATATTTTATTTTTAGATTCAAGTTCGGAATTAAATTTTTGTTCCAAGAAACAAATCATCAAGTTCACCTTCTTTATTCCGTCTTTCCATTCATTACAAACTCTTGTAACCTAGATATCTAATTTCTTTCCAACTTGAATTCAATCTGATTTTGAAGGTAAAAAATCTAAGGAATATTGGAAGTATTACATGTGATTTTCTTATTATTATGTTATTAAACATCAAAACCTTTCTTTTGCAGTATGCAAAAAATGAAGGAACACTAGGTGAAAAACCAATGATTCGGAGTTTGTTGATTTTCAACATGGTTTCACATCATCAAATAATGAAACCAACACATCATCATCTGGACATCATCTAAGTAATAGTATTTGTGGAATTTTTAATTATTGGATTATTATCATTAAATTGGAAATGTTTTTTCAAGTTGAAAGTTTTATGAAATGGATTACCATCATAAAGCATACCAACCATCCATATGGTGCCATTCATCATCAAAATATAATAGTAATGGTTGTGGAAATACATCTTGTAATAGTTAATAGATTCAATTTTTATAAATAAATATAATTTTTATTATATATAATATATATATTATATATAAAATCATCATCACTGGTCGATCTAATGGGAAAGATGGAAAACCAGCAATCTATCATTGTTCGGAATGATGAATAATAGGTTATGCAAATTTCTCCAGTGACTTTGTACCAAGAAATCATAGTATTAGGTTCATGTCAAATTTCACAATATGTGCATGTGCCGTAGCTCAACATGTACTTCACCAACTTGGAAAATTTCTTCGAATAGTATTGTTCAAAATGACCTCCAACAACATTGTCATTATCGAATTTTTGATTTGATTGGTGGTTATGGAGATGAGAAAATTTCAAAATTTCCTTCATCAATTATTGGCTTGATTTCTCAAATTAAATCAACCAATTATTTACAACAACACTATCATAGTATTAACAATAAATATTGTTAATAGTTTTTCTTCAATTTTTTTGAAATTTGCCTTAATTAAGATTTCTAAAATTTTATTAAGAATTGTTTCATTCAATTTTTATCCCACAAGCAATTATACAATGAACTGTAGATATATTGAATATAATAATTCATTCATTGAAATTTGCAATTCTAATCATGCAGAAACAGTTCTTAATTAACAAGTAGATCTACTGTTTCCCATGCATGATCTTGTTATTGAGTATGTACAGGAAAGTTCTAAACGAAACATTGGATGAAACTAAGGAATCAACAAAGTTTTTAAATTTTCCGTAATCTTTCTCTTCACGTTATCTAAAAAGAAGAAGGAGTTAGTCCAACTTCTTCGCTGGCATGATATGCCGCTATTCATTGATTGGTTTCTTGTTAAATTCATTGTAAACTAAACTAATGTTAGACAATGTCCCAAACACAAAACAATCAAGAAATCAAATGACAGTAAACTTCTTGTGGGCACTCAACTTACCTTCTTGGTACTGTTTTAATATGCCACCAAATAAATCCACATACATAAACTCACCATTTAATCGCTTTCGAATAATTATTTGTTGCCAATGTTGGTTTATTGCATGTTGCATCTCTCGAAAATTTACTGAAACAAACGATTAATTGATTTATGGCAGTGTCCACTACTACCAAAAGACAAAACGCAGTTTTTGCTGATTGTTGACTGCTTGCTTTCTAATAATGCCGTATGAGCAAAACGATACCAAATGTGAAACTACTCCTTTCGAATAATTGCCTTCTCAAAGGTAACGTTTGTCATCAATCCTCATTTAAACCTCAATGGTAAGGTCCACCAAGCTTTTAAATGACTTATTTCTGACAAGTAGTGCGATACCTCATGAAGCAACGTTTCGCTTTTTGTTACCCAAACATGAATTTAACAAAGGTTGTTGAGGGAGCGAAATGTTGTTTCGACCAGTTTCTTGTAAGTTTCGTATATTTGTTTTTGCTTCAAATGTACCTCTCAGCAAGCGAAAACGCAAATTGTTGAAGTAAAAAACAAAACAATTCACAATCCACACTCTCTTCAAAGGAGACGAAACTTTTGAAAATGAACAGCTCTCAAGTTTTCACATCCCAAGTTGACTCGTCAATTATTCCTATTGATGTTGCAAATGTTGTTGTTGGAAATGATGAAGACGATTTTTATAAAGCATTCGGTTCGTTTAGTTATGATGCTGAGTTGAATGTTGCCACAAATTGTGATGATAATCTTCAGTTGACCAACAATTTGTTTCCACAAACATGCCACCCACTTTCTAATACCCTTTCGAATAATAATACTAACTGTAAAATCACAAAGCATCCACATAATAACCATGCAGATGATATCATTGAACAAGAATCATTTAACTTTCTAACTGCCCTGACCGAAACTCATGATCACAACCAAACTAATCTTTCAGAATTTGTGAACAACAATCAACAACCCCATGACCCATCACTGTCCACACCACCTACCACATGCAACGAATCATCAAATCATTCACCAATCAGCAACAAATCAACCGTTCACAATAATAATGGGTCAACCAACACCACCACCTCAACAGGTCCAGTTTCCATCTCTGCAATTACTGGTCGTCCACTTTATCCAAGACAACGACATACAGGAAGTACTCGTTGTGCCAATTGTAATATTGATCAAACTCCAATGTGGAGAAAGGGATTGCATGGTGAAATTTTGTGTAACAAGTGTGGACTCTATCTCACCAGACATGGAAAGGAAAGACCATTGAATTTACAACAACAACAGCAACAACAATTGGATTCTGAGGAGGTGATGGTAGCAAGTACTGTTGCAGTGTCATCAGCAGAGGAGAAGGTAAATTCTGGTCAATCAAGGAAAAGAAGAAATAAGGTAGCTAGTGAAAAGAAGGAAAAGAAGGAAAAGAAGGAAAGAAAGTCAAATAGTGAAAAGACGAAACGTTGTAATTTAAAGAATTGTGAAAATAAGGCAAAAAAGAAGAAAGGAAATGGTTCAGATTTCGAATTCAGTTCTCAAAGTCCAATTTTAAATGCTGCCATTCTTGATTGTAATCAGGAATTTAAGATTTCAAGTCCAATCCAAACAGTTTCTAATCAATTAGTGGCCTCTCCAACTAATTCTTGCTGGAATGGTGCAACTAATGTTCACACAATCATCTCACCAACCAGCACTCCTTCCCAAACACCAACCATGATTTATAAGAATGACCAACCAATCATGAATGTAATTCCAAATGATTGGATTCTTAATCAACTAAGCACATGCACTCAATCAGTCATGCAAAAACAAGTATGGCCAAGCTATACAGTTCAACAATCAAATCCCAACACTGTTATCTATTCAATAGAACCGAATCAAAGTTATCAACCATGGAATAATTACTTTACACTTGATAATTCTCCAGTATTTCAATCTGAAGATCAACAACTCTTTAATAACTTTTTCACTGACAACCATTTTTTGAATCAATCTCAACAGACAATTCACAACCCTCAATATCACCACACTGATTTGTTTGCATTAAAATTGGATCAGCATGAGCTTATTAGTGAATTAATGTCAGACTTTCAATTTATCCAATAAATTTTTGACTTGATTTAGTTCTTAATTGGATCACATGGTGGTGCTTGTTCGAAGGATTACTTTGTAACTTTCTTCAAATAAATTTGCTAATATGGAATTTATGCGAAGGAAGAAAATGTATTCTCATCAAAGAACAATTCACAATCACTAACAACATGAATGCGTCGATGGTTTAGTGGTAGAATACGGCGTTGCCATCGCCGTGACCCGGGTTCAATTCCCGGTCGACGCATGAATTATTTTTTATTTTGATGATTTTTTGATTTCATGTCATAAATTTTGTTCGTCCAAATCTCGACATGTTATTCTACTATATTCTCTTGTTTAACGAAATTTTGTTTAGTATTCATCGAGATATTAAGCTCTGGATCCATACCATATTTCTATCTAAAAATGTCAAAATAAAAATAATTTGATATGTTACAAAAAATGTGACAATCTCCATCTTTTTATAACATTACTTGATATTAACTGTAAGAATAAAGATGAATCTCATCCACCTCTCCAACTCAAAGCCAAGTAAATGGTACTATCCTGTTTCATTTCATAATCTTGAATTGTTTTTCCATCTTCAAGTTTTTTGCCATTTAAAATCAATCGTTGACTTGGTGGAGGTATTCCTTGTTTTTCATTCACCAGTTCTTTAATTTTTTCGATAGAGTCTGTGCATTCAACGTCGATAGGGAAGGAATGACCTGATAGGGTCTTGATAAATAGTTGCATTTTTTATTGTGTTTTTAGGATAATAATAATCATGAACTTTGTTTAAATAGTTCAGCTCTGAACAAGGAAATTACAAAACCTACAACTGAACACGAAACATGAATCGCCCACCGTGGCACGACCATAAGGTTAAGAGCCTTGCGCTCTGCCGACTGAGCTAGACGGGCTACATTCATTAAAAAAACAATTCATTGATATTCATCTCCCGAATAGCAAGGTTTTGACACATTTTCAAATAGGTTTTTTTCAAATAAGCAATGAGAGGAAAGGATTGCATTCAAAGAAGATATTATTGTTTTTTCCAAACTTTATTCAAATTTCTTTGCACTTTGTGCCACACAGAAATTTGAAATGGAATAAATGCATTGTATTGTTCCATAACTCTTTTCAACCTCATACTCTCCAAATCAATATTCTTTGCAAAAAATCTATAACATGTAGCACAATGCTTGGCAGCCTCAATCATTATTTCCAAATCTACCTTGTATTGTTTTTTCAAATGTTCATAGACATCTCCATTATGTTGCAAAAGTTCCAAAATGAATTTCTTATCCAATCTAAATTTTTCTGGAATAAAAGGGAAGGCAATAGCATTCAATTTAATAGCTTCCGTAATGAATTCTCTGTCCATTTTCAATTCATCATTTGCACATCTCATAAAGCGTCCATCCTCCCTTATCTTATTCAACATATCTCCTCTTTGGTCAATAAATATATAACCGTGGTTAAGGGCATGCTCAATCATTTTCTGGTTCTCTCGTATTTCATTTGATGCCCAATTCAGAGCAAATACGTCTTGATTAACAGCTTCGTAGACTACTTCCCAATCTGACTTTAATTCAGTAGAGGCAAAACTGACTGCTCTACCACAATTTCTCACGGCTTCCAAGACTACTTGCCTATCGTTTAGCAATCTTGGAGAGGCAAATTGTAGAGTGTGCCCATTCTTTGAAACTGCAGAAATTACCACCTCCTTGTCATCCTTCAATTCAGCACAAACACTCATCAACACAAAAGGGTTGAACTCAATGGCTTCCATCACTATCGACTTATTTCTCTGTAAGGTAGAATCTACATACTGAAATGCAAAAAAATCTTGTTTAAGTGCTGCCAATACAACTTCACGGTCTGCTCTCAAGTTTGAAGGAACATATTGCAAACATATGCCTTGTTTCTGTACGGCCATCAATGCTAAATCCTTTTGTCTTTTCATAGACTCTGATGCCCAATAATAAGCAGTAGCATCATGTTGCATAGCTTCCAGTACAACTGCTCGTTCTGAACGCAACTCGAGAGATACATACTCAAGTGCCCTACCATTTTGCTGAACTGCCTTAATTACAATTGATCTATTTCCCTTCAGATTTTCTGATGCGTATGCGAGTGCATAACCATAATTCGTTACAGCTTCATACACTACTTCATAATCATTCTTTAATTCATCAGAGGCAAATTGTAGCACACCACCTGCTCTTTTGACGGCTTGCAATACCAGTTGCTTATTATTAGAGAATGCATGTAAATTTACATGTTGAAGCATGTAAGGTTCTTTTTGAAGAGTTGCCTCTACCACATCCAGGTCCAATTTTAATCTGTGGGAGGTATATTCATAGGCCATTGCATTTGATGAGATAGCTTGCAATACAAACCGTTTGTCATCCTGGAAAAAAGGACCTGCATATGATAAAGCCAATCCATTCTGTGAAATGGCTTGCCATACAATTTCCTCATCAGTTCTAAATTCCACAGCCCCATTAAAGAGAATTTTACCATCCAATTTCACTGCATCCAACATTATTTCTCTATCTATTAGACTAATAGGCACATATTTCAGAATGGTTGCATTCTCCTTTACTGCCTTTCGAATAAAATCAACATTTCCAAGCCAAACCATTGGGAAATATTGACAAATTTGGGGAAATTTCCGATAACCTACAAAAACACTCTCCTCATCTCCTAGGAATTCAAGAGGAAGTGCCTTTACAGTTTCAGGATCTCGTTCAAAGAAGGCCTCTTTGGCAGTTAACCATTTTCTTCTACCCTGCGATTGATAATCGAATTTAATCTTTAGCTTTTGACGATAAATGTGATGCGAAGGATCATCTAGTATGACAATCACTTGTGGAGAGATCAGGGTTGTATACTCCTTCTCGGAAGATTTTAATGATGAATTATTGCAAATCATCTAGATCACAGTAGGTCGGCTTGCTAAAGTGAAGGAAATTTTTTTGTTGGTATCACAATCACAAGTTTTGTTCCTCATCTTAATAATTAAAAACAACAGTCACTCTGATTCATCCGGAATGGCTAAAATCACCAGCATTAAAATCATTGTTATCGTCATGGATATTCAGTGGCGGTCCTAATAGCATGATGTAATAATTAAACCACTTGAATCATCGGATCATATTCATCCAATTTTATTGTTCATATCAATTTGAATCATACTGTTCTAATCATAACATACATTCTATATCATGAGATTTATAAATCATCTAATTTGTTTGTTGTTCTCTTTCTCTTTAACACCAAAGCAATTACAACAATAATTATCATCAGGACACTAAGCAGAACACAACATCCACCAATACTTCCCACAATAGCTCCAATTAAGACTGCAGAATTATCTGTCACAACTCCAGAACCTTTAGAAGGTGATTCCTTCTTATAATTTTGATCAATGACAACAATGGAACGTTCAAGACTGTATGTGTTACAAGTTACTGAAACTGCCTTGTCAGTTGAAGTTTTAGTCTCAATTCCATCTGATTTCCATTCCTTTGCAGTTTCGTCGAAATATATGCAGGAAACATTCAAATTTTCATTGTTGGAAATAGTCAAATTTTCGAAGAGTATGGCAACTGGATCTGCAAGGTTTTGAACTGGTATTTTCTGTCCAGAGTTTGCTTTAGCAATCACAGAAGAAACAATTGGCGAAACAAATCCCAAAGTTTCTGATGATATGGTTGTGGTTGATAATGAGCTCAACACAACAACTTCCTCATTCTTCAATGAAGGATCAATTCCTTCCAGATATACAGACATTGTTGGAGGTAGGTTAATTTTGACAGATGGTAGCTCAATATTTCTGGAGTTCAATAGAGTGATATCCGAAACTGGTGTAATCAACGTTTCTGGAGCATTGAAAATTGGAGAAGTGCAAATATGTGCAATGGTCAATACTGTGCAAATATTTGGGGTAGAACAATCAGATCCCATGTAGCCAACCTTACAGGCACAATTATTAAAAGATTGACAAATTCCATTTCCAGAACAAACTTTCGAATCAGTTTCGGCAAAACCAAAGCATGTTGTCTGGTTACTGCAAATCATTCCTTGAGAGGATTGAGTAAGGAAGTATCCTGAATCTTTACAGTATGGTGTTAGCATTCTAATTCTATTATTTCCTCTATCGACAAATAGAATTCTGTCGCCCTTCAAAACTGTCAAACTTAATGGATCATTGAGTAAAGATATCTTTGCATTGGAAGAATCACCGTTCAATCCTAATTGTAAGAATGATCCTGCAATCAATGAAATCTGTCCAGTCAAATCAACCTTTCGAATAACATGTCCTTGTCTTTCAGCAATAATCATTTCACCATTCGAAAGGAAAGCAACAGAAGCTGGTGCTTTCAAATAAGCAGAAGTAGCAGGTACATTATCGATTAGTGAGGTTAAAGTTGTTGAACCATTACCAGCAATTGTTGTAACCATTCCCATTTCAGATAAACTTGTTTTTCTTATTCTAAAGTTAATGGTATCGGCAAAAACGAGTTCATTGTTATGAAATTGCATATCTAGAACAGTTCTAATATTGGTTTGATTTGCTAGGTTATCTCCGTTATATCCATTCACATAACCACCAACAACTGAATCAATAAGTCCAGTCGAAAGTGAAATTTTACGAATCTTGTACAGAGTATCAGAAAAGTACAAGTAATCTCCAAGTATTTTCATGGAATAGACAGTTCTGAGTTTGGCATTGATTGCAGGTCCCTTATCACCAATTCCACCTGCAATCGTCTGCACATTTCCAAAAGAAGAAATCTTTCTCATCAATAAATTCTTACTATCAGTAAAATAGAGCTCATTACTGAATGGAGATATAGAAACACCCAATGGTTGATTCAAATTTGTTGCTAGGGCGCTTTGGTCACCATTTGAAACTGTTAAGCCTGTTCCAGCAATGTTATAAATGATGGAACTTTCAAAATCCATCTTTTTTATGACATTTTGTCCTTTGCAATAAATAAATCTCCTTTTGGTGAGAATGTAATGAATCCTAAAGAACCGAGAGAAGTCGAGTTGGCCAAACCAGTTGTACTCCAAATGGAAGTTCCATTCACACCAGCTACATTGTAAATAATTTGATTGTTGACATTAATTTTTCTGATAAGATAATTCACACTATCTGAGATGAAGAGCTCACCTGTAATTGGATGAATGGAAAGTCCGTAAGGTGAAATATTTGAAATGGAAGCTGGCATTGCATCGCCATTATATTCAGAGAGACCACTTCCTGCAATTGTTGAAATTATTCCAGTACTATTCGAAATCTTTCTAATAACCTTATTTCCAAAATCAGCAATGAAAACATCACCTGTACTAGCGTTATAAGCAACATCTGTTGGATGATTCAATTGGGCACTTGTTGCCAATTGACCATCTCCAGAATATCCAGCTAATCCTCCAGCAATAGTTAAAACTTGTTTGCTACTTGCCAAATATTTTCTTATTCTATTGTTATTGTAGTCAGCAATAAGCAAATCACCATTTGGAAGAACAGATAATCCTAAATTTGAATTGAATTGTGCAATTGATGCATTTCCATCTTTAAAACCAGCTATTCCATTTCCAGCAATTGTTGAAATAATTCCAGTTTCGTGGTCAATCTTACGAATTGCATGATTAATTGAATCACAAATGTACAAATCACCATTTATAGCAAACGCCAAACCAGCTGGTTCATTCAATTGGGAGGCAATCGAATTGAAATTGTCACCTGCCAAGGTTGAAACTGAACCTGCCACTGTCGAAACTCTTTTATCCTTCTTTGAAACTTTCAATATTTTAAAGGTTGTTCCAATAAACACATCTCCTGATATTTCAGATTGCGTAACAGAATAAGGATAATTCAACGCAGTTTCATTTCCCAATTTACCATCAATATCATCTTGAACAAGACCTACAACACCAGCCACTGTTTCAATGAGTGAACTACTTTCAATATTACTCAATGAATTTACTCTCAACACTCTATAATTATTGGTATCGGCAATTAGTAATTCATCTGTTTGATTATTATAGAAGGAGGTATAGGGTCTTTTAAGAGCTATTGTGGATTGGTAGCCAGAGGTGCCACCTGTATAGATTTCAGAGCCATCTCCTGCTATGGTGTTGATAATGTTGGTTGTCAAGTTAATGTGTCGAATTCTGTTATTTGAAGCATCAGCAATATATAATTTTTTTCCATAAATGGCTAAACTTGTAATTCCATGAAAAGTTGCATTTAATGCATTTCCTCCATCTCCACTAAATCCTGGAGTAATTCCTGCATTATTGGCAATAACAGTTCGTACACCATTTGAAAATTTAACAATTTGATCGTAAGTTGCTTCTGCCACATACAAATCTCCATTCGAATCAAATACGATTCCTTTAGGTCCAAAAGACGAAACATAGGTATAAACACTGCCATTATTTGCAATGTACTTGATTGCATTATTGTCAAAATCAGAGAAATACATTTCACCACTCACAGGATTGAAGACAATCGCCCAAACTTCACCAACATTCGAATATAAAGCCAAAGATCCCTCAGCACTGTTTCCCTTCACACCACTACCAACAATATTGTAAATGATTCCATTGACAACCTTTCTAATTCTATAATTGTAGGTATCACAAATAAAAACATCACCATTCGAAACTGGAACGACACATCTTGGTTGATTCAATGAAACAGATAATGGAGAAACACCAGAAGATGAAGAGTCGAATCCACCACCTGCGAATGTAACCATGTTGTAATTGTTGATGGTAGAATTAAAATAAACCTTTCGAATTCGAGCATATTCAGCAATATACAGTTCTCCATTCGAATTCAGAGCAACACTACTCGGTGTCAACAATGTATCATTAGCGAGAGTGAAATAACTGCTTTCTCCTGCTGCCAAAGTTGGTGATCCAGCAGCGAGATGTGAAAAACCATTCGAATCAACATATCTTACCTGATGATTGTACATGTCAGAGAAATAGACATTCCCATTCAATGGTGAAACAGCAACGCCAAGTGGGAAAGTCATGCCAACTTGAGTGGCCTTGACTCCCTCTCCGTACATTTCTCCCAACAGTGTGGTTAGTTTGAAATCGACAGGTTTAGTTTGAGAAAAACATCTGACTGTCCATGCAAAACAAGAAATCAACACAACAACCACAAACAGATTTACAGGTTGTAAGGTTTTCATTTTTTTGGAATGATATGAGAATCTGAATAGATTCGTTATTGTCGTAATAAAAGATTTTTTTGGAATGATAGAGGTGATGATTGTTTCACTCGCCATTACCGGGAAAAAATATATTTAATCCCAAGGTTACACATTGTTTTACTTACAACCCTAAAATGAGAAATTATTGTCGTTTTCAATTCTTACTACCCTATCGTCAGTATGGTGAATTGAGCCAAATTGCTCAAGTATGGTAAATTGAGCCAAATTGCTCTTGGATTCGGCAGGTATTCTCCATTGTAAATTGATTCTGTTGGTAGAATCTCCACTTACAATAATTGCAATAATTGCGCTCATAATTATCAATCTCTTTAATCCATTCCAACATTTATTGTTGTTCTTGTTTAATTTTCTTTGTTGGAGGTTCATTGCTAGCTGATGCTTCTGCTGGTCTACTGTTTGGTTTCTGATCTGATAGGATGCCATATTGTAAAAGGGTTTTGAGTATTTGTTCAATTGCTGTCGAGAGTGATTTCTTAGATTCTGGACTTTTAAGAACTTTGGTCAATCTTAATGTTTGTGGAGATCCTCTGTTCAATATAATAAAATAGGTCATAATTACAATTAGTTGGTAAACTTACTTTTTGATGGTTTCCTTTTCAATGTCAATTGCATTTCGCAAGATTTGTTCGACGTGCTTCCTTGACTGTTGCTTTTCCTTAAAATTAAAAACAGTTTCAGAAGATTCTATAAATTGCTTCACTTTCAGACAACTATTGCATGTACAAGTAACAGGAATATGTGTAAATTTCCACTTGTTGGTATCACCCAAATTGAATTCTGTAAGGGATTCATTTGTTGAATTAGCAGCATTGTGTAATAGCTTGTAGCTATGATCCAAAATGATTCTAAATCCTGATCCAGTCCAGAAACATTCATTTCCATTATTTTTGGCTAGTCCTTCAACCAATTCATACATATTATTTGTCGAATAATTTTTGTTTGCAACAATAGCCTTTGAGATATTCATCTCATCTTCAGTTTTTCCAAGCTTTCTACATAATGTCAATAACTTTACACTGTTAAGTATAGAAATATCCTTCTTTTGCATTTCTAATATTGCTTCAAACAATTTACTAGCCAAAAATTGTTCTTCCTTTCCATCCTTTACCAATATATTTTCCAAAACAGAAATCAATGAAGGCATATTCTGGGGTCTTAATGTTGATAACGATTGGGAGAGAAGTGGAGAGATTTGTTCCAATCCAAAATGCTTCATAACTGGTATACATTGTTCAACATTAGCAATGGTAATAGAATATGAGCCAAAAGCAGTCTTGAAAACCTTAGGGCATAATTCAATTCTATTCAATCGGATGATAAGGTCGGCAGAGAAAGATGTATTATCATTCTTAAGGGATGCATTTACGAATTGGGTAATTTTTTCAGAGGTGGAGGGATACTTGTCCTTGATTCCTAAAAGCAAAACAATTGCATCCGATTTGATTCCATAATAAGTGGAAGCAGCTATCATTGGAATATTTGATATAAATTTTTCAATCCATGTTGGTTCCTCTAATTCTAAAACCAAAGATGCTATTACTTCAATTTCAGATGAAGTACTATATGAATGCTTGAAACATTTTTCAATATACTTATCAAATAAAACCTTAAAATTCTCAACACCATGATGTTTGATTAATGTGGTAGCTATTTTAGCCTCTTGTATATGTCCCAACCCTCCACCAAGCCATAATCTTTCTATAAACTTTAAGCTCAATGGCAAATAGGACAGAGCTATACAAGCTTCAAGAATATCTTTAGACTCAATATTATATGTGGAATTACATTCAGAATCTTCAGAACAAGTAAGTTTTGATGATGTTAGGGCCATTAGCAAACGTCTCGTATTTTCATGAGGGTTTTGTTTGAATTTTTCTAAAAGTTCTGTAACTTTGTCTTTGTGTTCCAAAGATTTCAATTCGTTTGGAATCATAATAATACAAGCACTTTTGTACCATCGTTCAATCGTAGCTCCCTCATTACCAGTTGTTTCAATCTATTTAGTTTTGGTAAAGTTGTTACAAATTATTGAAACTTACATCTCTATTTTCTTCTGGCATGCTTCTTCTTACATCATCTGGAAAGATTTCATCCTCCATCAAATGAATTTTCTGATTAATTGGTTGTCCAACAACATGACCTTGATAATACAATTTGGTTTCTTCAATATCCCTTACAGTAGATCCACAGGATCTTTCATGCTTTTCCAAAATTGCCAAAGATGTTTCCACGTTTGGTATTTGTTTAAGTAATTGATATATGGCTTCATCTTTGCCTTTTAGCAATTCAGGAGTTAAACCAGCAGTGGAATATTTGTGGTCCATAACATAGCAAAGCTTGGAATACATTGGTGCTTCTAACCATGATTTTACAATGGTCTCAATTTGTTTCAATTGAGTATCACTATCAAAAGCTTGAATTTTGTCGGCACCAGAGTATACCAAATTATAAATCAAAGCTAATCTATATCCAGATTTAACAGTCTCAACCTTATGTGAAACATCACAATAAAAGCTCACATAATATGGATTAAAAGTTGCATCTTCCGAAGTCTTGTAAATATTTTCTTTTTCTTTATGTCTTACAACTATTTCACCTCCTGTGAAAGAGCTTGGCAATTGAACAACTAGAGTGGCAATCATACCATTTTCCTTCTCAGTATCTCTATGAAAATCAAAGAATCCTCCTTCTTCATATAATAACATTTTGTAAAGAGAAAATCCAATTTTCTTTTCTTGTGCAATTCCTAAATCCTTTTTCACATTATTATTAACCAAATCCTCAATTAAACTATTCCACTTTGGATTTGTTATTTTAAATCTCTGTGGATCCAATTGCCATGATTTTCTAACAGACTCATCATAAATAGTTTTATCCAATCTTCCAAATGGGCTCATTGAGCAATTTTTAATCAAGTCCTTAGCTTGTTCCTCATAAATTATCGGAAGTGGCAAAGGCTTATAAACTCCTGATTCTTGTAAAATTTCAATAGCAGGTATTGAATATTCAGCACTTAATTTTCCACCAGTTGAAAAATCACCACTTCTGTCTGTGCTATTCATCACTTGTATGAGTTGTTTTTTAATATTTACTTCGGGAAGTGATTCCGCAATCGTTTCACGGATGATGATAGGAAGAGAAGCTACTGGACCTTGTCTAGTGTACTCTTCTTCCGAATCATAGGAACATGCGTAATCATCAGAATCATCAGAATCAAAGAAAGTTCTTTGAGCACTTTGTCGGTTGCCCATTTTTTTTTGATTTTTTTTTAAATAATAAATAATGCGTTAATCTGCTTCAAACTGTTAATGTGATCATATTTCTTTTAACTTGATTGTAATCATTGGAACTGGATTGCCTAGACGGTGGGCAGTGCCATGTATTCGTTGTTCCAACCAAATTTTTTTAGAGTCGAGGCCAATTTATAAATATTTTAATATTATTTATTCTTCTGATGATATTCTGATCCGCTGGTAGTATCGTCTTGGCAAATTCTTGGAAAGCTTTTGGAGTTTATGGTTTGATGGTTGGTATTTCATCATCAACAGGATTTCCTCTTTTTGTTGCCAATTTCTTGGTTTCTTTGTTGGGTTGGAGATTTAGATGTAAGAAGAAGATTCCACCAGTCAAAGAAACTTCCTGATGATGGATGGGTTGTTGTATTAATTTTCTAGCCAACTGCCATGTTGTTCAGTTGCTTCCAAATACCAGCTTGTGATTGGACATTGTAGCCAGTAGACAAAATCTCTTAATTTTTTTAAATTTTAATTTAACGGTTTTTAATCAGCCAAATGTCAAAGCAACGGATCTTCTGTGGCTCGACTTGTAAATTTTTTTGTCTGACCCGGCTCGACTTGTAAAAATTTTTGTCTGACCCGGCTTGACTTGGAAATTTTTTAGCCTGACCCGGCTCGACTTGGAAATTTCGCAAGTTCTGCATAAAATGCCTCTGGCTCGACTTTGAAATTTTTACTCCCTGACCCGGCATTTTACATCACTGACCACCGTCTAGGATTGCCCATAAATTCAGTGTAATGGAATGGCCGTTGCTTTCGAATATCTTTATTTTTAAATCCAACAGTGTTTTTAAAGGAATATAAAAATGATTAAGGGTTTCTTACGTGGATTATTTTAAAATATTGCCTCATACTTATTTTTGACTTTTTCGTGCAATGAGTAAATGAATGAATTAAGTGAGAGATCTCCATCGTCATTTTGAATATCAATTTGCATACTTGTAATATAGAGAATTACATTTCTTTCTAAATAATCATCCATAAATAATAAAAAGCCCAATAAATAGACTTTTTGGACCTGTTTGTCGTTAATCACAGGAGAAAGGAAAAAGTCAACTTCACCACCTAATTTTTTAAGGTATTTGGCGAATAGATTATCTGAAATATCTATATCAATAAAATAGAATATTCCAACCATAATCAAATACATGATGTGTGTATCTGTTTCTAACCCATTGATGGCGTCGCATACCTTCTTAGGAATTGGTAAACCAAGTCTCAAGCATTCAGCTAATAAACAACTCAAATTCCATCTATTTTGTGATGGATGGTCACAACATGTCTCAAGTAAAAGATATATATTTGATGTAGAATCCACGAGTGGCGGAAATTCATGATATATTCTATTAGCAATAATTATTTCAGCTAACATGTCAGCAGGTAAATACACCCGAGGTTTGTAATAATCATATATAAATGGAATCAAATCACTTGATAATTGTTCCAGAATTTCTCTTCTCGACTGAGAAACAGTGTCTTCCAATAATAGCTTAATTGAAGACTGACAAAGGGCTAATTGTGTCACAAGAGGAATAGAATTTTCCTTACGCTGCTTAATAGCATCAAAATATCCAGGTAGAACTATTGCAGATAAATAGGAAAAACCTCTTTCACGAATGAACTCAATAATTTCTTCCAAATATTTAGTATTTTCAAGTTCGTGAATATATTTGGTTGCCTTGTTTAAAATAATGGACAAAGAATAATCTAGATCTATATCAGCTAAATAGTCCTTATAGGTAATAATGAAGATAAATAGCGATAATACATCATTAGTGCTCTCTACTTGGAAATTGTAAGCTGCCATCATCATTGAATCTTTCAAGACGTTACAATCCTCTACAGTCAGCTCGGCAGTAATAGAAGCCATACGGATGGTTAAAGATTTGTTAAATGCATTTTGAATGATAGGTTGGGGAATATCGCTTCTGCAACATTTGAGACACAAAGCTAGAGATTCTATTCCCCCTGGAAGTTCACAGAATGTAACCAATAGCATTGCAGATTTTCTAATTTCCAAAGTCTCTGTTTCATCTCCAATTATGGAGAAGAGATCAGGAATAAACATTTTAGGCTTAAGTTTAAATTTGATATATCTCATAAAAGATAAAATACCAATCATTCTTTTCGATCTCGATTCATTTCTTTCCATGTATTTGAGTTTCTCTAATTCTAATGTTACTAATTTGTGGTAATAATCTCCAAAATATGACACAGCTTCAGGGTAACAATCTAGATTAGTACAATGTTCATACATTAACTTGAACAATTCAAATTTGTCAATTTGTTTCAGTGGATGAATTCTAATACTATCATCAAGTAATCGCCTCTCTAATTCTATCATGAATCTCTCAAACATTGACTGTTCAGATCCTCCCCATGTTGGACACAATGATTCATCACTCCAATTTCTCTTCTCATAATGAATCAAAAACAACAAGAAAGTTTCCAGAAAATCATTCAAAGACAATTGATGAATCACTTCAAAAGTAAACAGGGAATATTTAAATATCCAGCTTGGAACCACTTCTTTAAATTTAAACAGTGAGTCAATCACTAAACAATTTCTTTCCGAACTTGTTTCCATGTAGGATTTCATCAACATCTTCGGAACGTCTCCATGATGATAATTAAACTCTTCATCCACTTCCCGATCATATAGAGCAATTACTTTAAATAAATTGGCTAAATCATCCTCTCCAAATGACAATTCTTCAAACACTTCTAATACTTCCTTTTCCTCATTTCCCAATTCATCAGATAATTGTGCATAGGTGATGTAAATTGTTTCCATGACATTTTCAAAATTACCATAATAATCACCCTGTTCAAGGATAAACTTTAGGAGAGTGTGAATATCTGGTGGGAGTGGTAGTTTCATTTTTTTTTCGAAATTCAATATTTTTTCAATACTATTGAAAATAATTATATTTTCTAATTGAATATTCTTTTGTTGGAATTTCCACAAAACAACTTTATGAAATTGTTACAAGTTATATTTATTAAAGAGCTAAATACAAAACCACCATCAAACTCCATCCAAGAGAGAAAATATAACCAATGGATGAAGAAACATTGAGTCTTGTTGAGGTTTTACCCTTAGTAGATGTTGCTGCACTTCCACCACCTCCAGTTCCACCTCCATTTCCTCCAGTTCCACCACCTCCATTATTTGGAGTGCTCGCAACTGGATCAATCAATGGATTGTACTTGTTACAGAACCCAGTTGAACAACAATAGTATCCATTACAACTTGATGAAAGAATGACACCGTACTCATAACGAGTTTTCTTTGCATTCACATCTTCAAGAGAACACTTTGAAGTCACAGCTGTGCAGGTATAAGAACGACGATAGCAATTATAGGAACCAGCAGATGGCAAAGTAATGATACTATTTCTTGGCATACCTTCTCCAAAGGCAAAATCTCCAACATAGCAAGTCAAATTTCCTTTGAGTGGTTCGTACTTGTTACATTTAGAGTTCTTGCAACAGATTGGATCCAAATAATTGAAATAGTCCTTTTGAGCAGCAGCACATTCAGAATCTGTTGCTGTGAAGTAAATGGTCTTGATTGTTGATTTGGAAATCTCATTGGCAGAGCAGTACTTCTTCCACATTGGATTGGAACAAGCATATGAATGTCTAGCACAATTCTTAATACCATACATTTCAATAGATTTAAAAGTATCTGGTTGAGTAGAGTTATAGATATTGGTAGTGTTATAACAATCAACAGAGTATGGTCTATTACAACCCGCTTCATAACAACAACTTCCCTTTGAACATGTTCCATATGTGAAATAGGGTTTTGAGACACCTTGTGCAATCTCGGACGGTGAGCAATCCTGTTGCTCAATAGAACAATTTCTTGGAATTGTTAGACAATACAATTCATTAGCAGGAAATAATGTATCTTGAATCATTGGTTTCAATTGAGCAGTTTCAGGGCTCATACCAACATAGCATGTTTTTGGTTGATTGCATCCATCATAGTAACAACAATTGGTAAAAACTGAACAATCAGTCTGATTCATATATCCATAACTTTGACGACGATCACAATCTCTATTGGAACATGACCAGCTATTATAACAAGAATAGGCATTCTCATCATATGGAGATTCTTTCACATCAATTGATCTCAATTCAGTGTCTGATATGCCACTATAACATTTCACAGTTGGTGGTTTGTTACATTTTTCACCTTTACAACATGTAGCATTGGCAATTTCTGAATAATACTTATAGTTTTCACAATCTTGTTTGGTAGCTACACTGGAGACATGATATGTCGTTCCAACAGGAATTTTACGATCTGAACAGTACGGATTATAGGAAGCACATTTGTTTTCATATTGTGAACAAAAGTTATCACTACTATTCGAAACGAAAACGAGTTCATAATTTTGTTGACCATAGAAGCCAAGTCCTGAATAACACCAGAATCCATCAGATGGTAAGTTAACTGGTTCATTACAAAGTGGAGTGGTACAAATGGTTTGATTATTATCTGGATAGAGAGGATAGAGTGAAGATGTGGAAAAGTAAACCCATTTGCTGATATCTGCTTTGAATTCTTCAGTTGTACAGGTAAACCTGTAGCTACTGCAGGGAAGATAAGCTTTGGTGCAATATTTGTCATATTTGTCAACTTTTTCGGTGGTGTCTGTGCGAACATTCAAGCCAGAGCCATAGTAGCAGCGAATAGCAAAAGTTTCAGCTATTTCGAATAAAAGTATGAGAAGTATTGCAATTTGAAATAGTCTCATTTTTTTCTTGTTGTGTCATAAAGAATGGTGAACAAAACCAATTTAACCCATACAAACAGTTGACAGTTATGGACAAATATGGATTATCTTAATTGTCAGCCACATTGGCTTAACGAAATCTCATTGAAAAGTTACTATCTCTTGGTCTTCTTCTACATCAACAACCAAGTGTTTCTGTAGTACTTCCTTGTGCAAATAACTGTAACAAGACATATCAATAATAAATTAATTCCCTTTGATTGTGATTTTTACCTTCAAAATCAAATTGAATTCAAGTTGGAAAGAAATTAGACATCTAGGTTACAAGAGTTACAGAATTGTATGAATGGAAAGAAGGAATAAAGAAGGTGAACTTGGTGATTTGTTTCTAGGAACAAAAATTTAATTCCGAACTTGAATCTAAAAATAAAACATCATCATCCCTTTAAAACCTGTAAAAACATTAATTTTCTTCATCAATACAAAAAAAACAAATCAAAACAACTAATAATAATTATAACACAATGCAAATTTTCGTTAAAACATTAACTGGTAAGACAATTACATTGGAAGTTGAATCAAACGACACTATTGAAAATGTCAAATCAAAGATTCAAGACAAGGAAGGTATCCCACCAGATCAACAAAGACTCATCTTTGCTGGTAAACAATTGGAAGATGGAAGAACTCTCTCAGACTATAACATTCAAAAGGAATCAACTTTGCATTTGGTTTTGAGATTGAGAGGTGGTATGCAAATTTTCGTCAAAACTTTAACAGGAAAACAATCACATTGGAAGTTGAATCCAATGATACAATTGAAAATGTCAAGTCTAAAATTCAAGATAAGGAAGGTATCCCACCAGATCAACAAAGACTTATTTTTGCTGGTAAACAATTAGAAGATGGAAGAACTCTTATCTGATTACAATATTCAAAAGGAATCAACTTTGCACTTGGTTTTGAGATTAAGAGGTGGTATGCAAATTTTCGTCAAAACTTTAACAGGAAAGACAATTACATTGGAAGTCGAGTCCAATGATACAATTGAAAATGTTAAATCAAAGATTCAAGATAAGGAAGGTATTCCACCAGATCAACAAAGACTTATCTTTGCTGGTAAACAATTGGAAGATGGAAGAACTCTCTCAGACTATAATATTCAAAAGGAATCAACTTTGCATTTGGTTTTAAGATTGAGAGGTGGTAATTAAATAAATTTGAAATAATTTAAACTATTCAAATCTGATTTTAATCTTATAAATCATCACTAGACAAAATATGAATTGATTTGCCTTAATTGAACTTTTGATCCTAAAATTTCAGAAGGGAACGTGTTTAGTCCCAACACTGCAAAGTTCATACGAATAGTATCCAAAAGTTCGTAGAATTGATTTGTTATTTTAATGTTCTCCAGTGGTGATGATAAGGAAAACATTGGTTTTTGATAAAGGTGGACCACTCGGAAGAAAAAGGAAAGTCTCAATGAACTCATTTCCGATATCATAATTAGATAACATTGTTTTGTATTTTTCTTAATTGTTGTATCAAAAATTGGCGCCAAATTGTATTACAAGTTTTTTAAATAGAAAAAAAATGTCATCACAACAAGTAAGCAACAAGGAAGGAAGCGAATATGATCATTTATTGAATAGAAGGTTTGAATACAACATTGCCAAACAACAAGTGAAAAGTGAAGACAATAATACAACAACTGCAGCAACATTTGAGGCATCCAATTCTCTGTATGCTCCTGCATCGAGTAGAAGCGATGTTTCAAGAGGGTTTGTGAGGTTTATCGGAAAGATTGATCAAGCTAGTTCTCAACTTTTTGTTGGTGTTGAATGGGATTATGAAGAGAGAGGCAAACATGATGGTGAATTGAATGGGGTTAGATATTTTGTCACAAGTACTGGAAAGAAGAGTGCTAGTTTTATCAAATTAGAAACCTTCCTTAGATTCTCCAGTCTAGGAATTGATTTCATGCAAGCTGTTTCTGGAAAATACAAGAATAAGGACTTTAAGGAAGAGGAAATGTTCATTTATTCATCAAGCAAAAAGACTCAAATTTCTGTGGAATTAGTTGGACGACAAGACCTTGAATCAAAATTGGAAAAGATTGAAAAGCTCACAGACCTAGGATTGCAAGATTGTAAAGTGTCATCTATCGAAAAGGGAATTGGTGCTAACTTTGAAAATGTGAGAGGAATTGATCTTTCAGCCAACCTCATTGAAACATGGTCACAAGTTGAAACTCTTTTGGAGGAATTTCCAAAGTTGACAAATTTAATTATTTCATCAAACAGATTCTCCCAAGTGGTAGTTAGCAAGGGTAGAACCTATCCAAACTTGAAGATGCTTGTGGTTAATGATGTGTCGTTTGGATGGAAAACTTTTGTGGAAGAAATTTTACCACTCTTCCCTAACATTGAGGAAGTTCACTTTAGAGACAATAATGTGACCGATGAAGATTTGAAATCATCTCAATTACCAACTTTGTCATCAATTCAGTCATTGAATCTTTCAGGAAACAAAATTGCAAACTGGGATGCTGTTTGGAATTCTTTCAGTAACTTTGCAACATTGACAAGATTGCTTTTGAACTATAATGCCCTCTCATCTGTTAAATTCATGAAGGAAGGTGGATTCTCTTCTCTCAAGAGTATTTCCGTAGCCAGTAATAAGATTGAAGAGTATGATTCTTTGAATGAACTCAACAATATGCCACTCTTGGAAGAATTGAGATTAGAAAGTAATCCAATTCAAGAAAAGTATGGTGTCAACAATGTAAGACAATATGCTGTGGCTAGAATCAGAGGATTAATCTCCTTCAATGGCAGTGAAGTAAGAAAGAAGGAAAGAGAAGATGCTGAAAAGTACTACTTGAAGCAATGTGGAAGAGAAAAGACAAGTAATCCTTCACTCGAAATTACCACTCTCCATCCAAGATATAATGAATTGGTGAAAATCTACGGAGACCCATGTGAAGCTGATAATGCCAATCAAGGAGTAACCAAGGTTAGCAATGAATTTGTCGTGTTGAACATTAAGAATGTAGCTGCATCTGTAGTTTCATCCTCACAGGGTCATGTTGTGGAGAAGAAGATTCCGTATGGATTTACCATTCAAAAACTCAAGTTAATGTGTCAAAGATTATTCAAACTTGAGGCCTCCAAGCAAAGATTATTCTACATTGATGTTGGCCACTCGCTTCCAGAACCACTTGGTGATGACTTTAAAGATATTGATTTTTATGCTGTTAAAGACGGAGGCACAATCATTATGGAAGAAATTGATGAATTTGCTCAACAAAAAGAGGAAGAATTAAAGAGAAAAGAAAGAGAAAGAACCATCAAGGAACAGGAAGAGCAAGTCAGCCGTGAGTTGAGGTGGAAGCAATTGTAAAAATATTCTTTTTTTATTTAAATAATTATTTAAATTGTGAATGAAACTGAAATTAAAACTGTCACCCATCACCAGCTAACAAAAATCATCATTAAAAAAATGAGTCTTCAATTCAATGCCCGTAAGGCCATCGAAGTCCTTGCAGACAATGAAGGAGAATCAGCCACTCGTGAAAAGTTGAAAATTCTCAACCAACTGTCAACCATTCCCAATGTCAACATTATTCCTGTTGAAGTTCTTCAACTTGTTATTCAAATTTTAGGAGAAACAGAAAATAGAATGATCATCAACTCTATCCTCTCTGCCATCCAACATTTAGCTTCTTTTGAAAGAACTAGAATGTTACTCGGAGATGACACCAATTGTATTCAATTATTGGTTCCACACATGTCTCAATTCAATTTTCCAAATATTCAATCTGGTGCTTTGGATGCAATGGCAGAATTATTGAAAGGTAGCAAGAAGAATCAAGAAAATTTAGTACAATATGTTTCTGAATTTTTCAATCCATTGATGGGTATTATTCAGAGAGAAAATGATGCAACTACAAAGAAGGCATTTGCTGTTTTGGATTCCCTGTTTGAAAATCCTATTTGTGTTCATGCTGTTTTCGGTGATAAGGATAGATATGATGAATATTTGGAACCTTTGATTATTTGTTTGCAAATTGAGAATAACAGATTGGTTTTACAATGGGCTTTACAAACAATTGAAAAAGCTTGTAGACAAAATCAATTATATGCTAAACATTTACTTGATATTGGTATTATAGATTCATTGGTTCAAATTATTTTGGATCCAAGACATGTCAGTGCCCAATCGGTTAAAATTAGTGCTTTGAATGCTCTTATTCATTGTGTGAAATATTCAAATGAAGCTGGTTTATGGGCAGGTGAATCAGGAATTGTTGAACCTCTCATTGAAATCATGTATCATACTTCACTTGAATTGAACTCTTCAAATATTTCACTTTCTTATGCTCAATCTAACGAAACACAAGATTTGAGAGAAGCTTGTTTTGAATTGGCAATGAATTTGACAAACTTTGAAGCTGGAAGAATTCATGCTCGTATGATTAATTCAACAACAATTATTTCAAGTAGTGATATTGACTTGTCAGCAGATAATCCAACCACTCCAAAAGAAGAAAAACAAGTCAAATTGGATAAATTAGATGTAGATACCAAGATTCTCAATCCATACTTTGATGAAACTGAAGAAAAGAAGGAAAATATCGATATTTTATCTGAAAATAAGAAGAAATTCATAACACATACCAATGGTTTGAATGTTCTCTTTGCCTACATTGGTCAAGAAGAACCAAATGAAAAGTCTGATTTGAAATACAAAAAACACGTCAAACAGATTAGAAAGATGGCCATTATGATCATTTCAAACATTTCCACTATTGCCGAGAATGGTGTCACCATCTTGTCAAGAGAACAAAAATTATTGAGCTTTGACCATCCAATGAACATTGTAGACTTGCTATTGGACATTATCATTCACAAGAAGGAACACGAAAAGGATAGCACCAAGTCCAAGAGAAGAATCGACGATGGAAAAGATTTTAAACTCGACATGAAACAATGTATTATTAATGCTATGGGTTCTTTTGCCTTACATGACGATTGTATTCAAAAACTAGGAGAAATGGGTGTTATTAAACGTCTATTAAAGATGATTGATGAAAGGAATGAAGCTGCTGAAATTGCCAAATTGCTAGCCAAGATGTGTGAACACAGCAACTTCCAAAAGGTTCTATTCGAGGAAGCTGGTCTTGCCAGAGTCATTAAATTATTGGAAGCTCAAGATAATCCAGAGGATAGATTGTCCGGTTTAATGATTTGCTTGCCTCTTGCTTCAAATCCAAATGGTTGTGTTGCCTTGTCACGTGATGGCATTGATAAGAAGATCAGAGATATTTCAAAGAGAGAAGTCGTATTCGAGGAAGTGAGAAAGATGGCTAAACAAGTCATTAAGGTATTCAAAGAGAATAACAAGTCATCACTTCGTGCAACTAAAGCAGCTGTTGGTGGTTCTGATGAGAATGGTAAACCAATTAATAATATGAACATATTCAAGTTCAACTATGAACAAGTTGCAAGAATTGACAAGGAATTTGTCACACTTTGTGAAGAGAGAATTTGTTCCTTGTTGGATAATCCAAAATTCAAACTCCAAATCAATTGGCGTCAAGTAGAAAGATTGGGAGATATTAACTTCTCTGACGAGGCCATTACCTTGTTGGGCAGATTGGATTTATATGAGGAATTCTATATGGCCATTGAAGCATTTATTGAAGCTGCTGAGATTAATGCTAACATTTTCAATGCTAACGTTCCACTTGTTGTTTTGGAAGTCTTGCCACCTGTCAAGAAGGAAGAAAATTCAAAGAAGAAGGACGAAGAAGAGGAAGAAGCCGTTCCTTGTGAATTGGAAATTGGAGATTTGATTATGAAATACAAATTATCTCCTGATGGTATTTTGTGGACTCCTAAACAATTGGCTGGTCTTATCAGTTATGAATTGTTGGGTTATGACATTATTGAATTGAATGACATGTTGATTGGTGATGGTGAAGAAGATCGTGATGACCAATATGAACTCGGTGTTGATCAGCTCAAGAAGATTTGTAGAGACTCTAGATTGGCACTTTTGGGTGATATCAATCTCTTGTATTTCCATATTGAAACAACTGATTTGTTATGGAAGGCAGGTTTTGCTGAATCCCAACAAATTGTTGCCTCAAAGAGTGTTATTTCAGATGAGGAATTGTTTATTAAGGGTTGGCGTATTCTCAAGATGAACAAGGATGGTATGCTTCAAGAGAGAATTCTCCTCCTCACCAATACCTCTTACTATACTGTTTGTTTTGATCCAAAATCAAAGAAGATTGACTACAAACACACCAAGCATCACAATATTGAAGATTACTTCTTGTGTGATGTTGGTAAAATTGTCAAATCACGTCACGACAGCACTTCTTCCACTGTTCACTTGCATGAAGATGGTAGAAATAAGTTTGCTTTGAATTTGGTGACTAAAGAAAAACCACACGTTTCCAAATCACAAAACAAGTTGGAAGAGGAAGCTGAAGAATTGGAAAAGATCAAACGTATGAGCTCTGTTTTCCACACTTCTGAACTCAAATCTCAACTTTCTGCAATTTCAAATTCTGACATTCTCTCTCAATCAGACGAAACTGTTTCAACTGAGGAAGAATTGAACAAATCATTGGTTCCAGATGAGGATCAAGCTGAAAGACCATCCACTGCTGGAAAGTATTGTTCCATTTTCTTGTGCCCTGATACTGTTCCACGTGGTAAGCAAAAGTTCTACCTCCAAGAAATTGCTTGGTGTTTCCGTGCTGTTGCTTGTTGTGCTACCAGAACCGAATGCCACAGCGTCTTTAATAGAGACATTGTCAAACCAATTGAAGGTAAATTGGCTCGTTTCTACAACCTTACTGGTATGGGTAAAAAGAAGGATAATTCCATCATTGCCAAACACATGGAAACCAAGATGAGAAGAGAGCAAGAAAAGCAAGAAGAAAGAGTCAAACAAGCTCAAGCTAAGGGTGCCAAGAATATTAAGGAAAAGTAAATATTAAACACGATGAAGAAATAAATTTATAAAATATGCCCAACACATCTAAAATCTATCATTTTACCAATGCAAGGTTCAATCATTACAAAATTAGTCTTTTCGAATTTACAATAGATTGCTTTGATTCAATTTAGTAAAGAGAATATCAGCAATTCTGTCATACCCCTGTGGTGTAAAATGCAAACTATCATCCCAATACATATCCTTTTCCTCATCGGTACATTTACAAAAATTCAATTCTTCCATCAAGTCCACAAAAATCATCTTTTGATTTCCACAATTTTCCACAAAATTTCTAACTGCCTTATTAACCTCATCCTTGTTTTTCAAATATCCCTGAATCATGGACGATTTTTCCATAAACTTTCCATCAAAAAGACTCGGTGCTCAACCAAAACTCTCCAACTCTAAACACCTCTTGTACATCCCAATTAAATTCTCAATAATCATATCGGATGAATAAGAAGCCAAATCATTTGTTCCTCCGATAATGATCACTCCTTTGAATGCATCTTTTGCATAATAATCAAGAATTTGATCGAGACGTTCCTTCATCTCTTGTGTTTCCTCTCCGTTCTCTCCAAAAGGCTCAACATGATATTTGTTTGTTAGTAGGAATGAAAGACGATTTGCGTATGGATGATATGAAAATCCATTATTGTAGTAACCTTTGGTGAGTGAGTCGCCGAGAGCGAGAATGGTTGGTTGTTCTTGTTGCATTTTTTTGTGATTTTTTATTAGTTTTTGTAATATTCGATATTACAATTTATTTTAATGATATTAGAAACGAGTTTAAGAATTTTATATTAAGGTGATAACGGTGGTTTTCTTATTGAACAAAGATGGTTATCTTTTCCTTTTTCAATTAAATAACTTTTGAGTATTTAATTTTCTAATTTATACTATTTTGGAAAGTTTAACCAATACAGATCATAGATTTTAATTGATTAAAAAAATAGATCTAGAACCAGTTGAGATTGTACAAAAAGATAGAACGTGGTAATACCAGATCAAAACCTCCATTTAATAATAATAATAAATTTAATTTTTTCCTAATCAATATTCTCCAAGCTCCAAAATTTAAAACATTCCTTGCATTTGATCGTACAAGACCAAAACCAATGCAGAACCAACAGTTCTCAAAGCGTTAGCTCCAGCACCCTTGAACATGGCAACAGTACCTTCTTCCTTAAGAATCTTTGAGAAACAGTCAACAGTTCCTGTATAAACCCATTGTTCTCTTGGCTTTTCAGATTGCATCATCAATCTTCTTCTGACAGTATCGAATGGATAGGAAGCATAACCAGCAGCAATAGAGACAGTTTGAGCAAGAGCAAATTTAGAAGAAACACCAGCAATACCAAGATCATTCTTGTATGGGTTCTTTTCTCTCAAAGTATCATATAAACCAAAGTAAACACCTCTGTATGGAATGATACCAGCAACTGAAACTCCGAAACCGTTATATAAAGCTCTGAAACCACCTTGTTTGTAAGTCTTAACCATGCAATCACCCAAACCATTAAAATCTCTGTGATTACCAACATCGGAAGCAAGACGAGTACGAGCATAATCCAATGGATAAACAATACACAAAGAACCAGCACCAGCCAAACCACCAGAAGCTAATTGAACCAAGAAGAATTTGAAGAAGTTGTCCTTTGGAGAGTAATCTGGGAACATCTTTTTAAGAGCATCCTTGAAGGAGAAGTTAAAAGCTTGTGTTGGGAAATATCTGTAAATATTGGTCATATTACCTCTCCAGAAAGCAGGAATACCTTCGTTTTTAGCAACACGAACAAAACAATCACCAATACCAGTGTAACGTGGGACTTGTCCAGATCTGATCAAAGGATTAGCATCTTGAGTTTGGATCAACAATTTAACTCTTTCGATTGGAGCTGTAACAGATTTATCAATAGCACCAGCCAAACCTTAAGTAGATTTGTTGTTTTGCATTCATGTTTTCGCCAAGTTTGGACTTGCCAACAACACCAAGAGTACATTTTTGAAATGTTCTTCCACATCACACAATTATCATTATCATACCATTGATTGATATGAAGAATCAGTATTTAATGATCACAATAATATCTGTTCCGTAAAGATACACTTGATCGACAAATAATCAATGGAAAAGAAATAAGGAGCTGTAAGCTAGCTTAATACAAAAAAACAAAATATTCTATGAATAATTGTGTTCAATAACAGGACAGTACAAAATTCGCGTGGTAATCAACACTCCATTGTTGTACAGATTATTCAATAAGGAATGAGAAAAACTTAATTCGTTAAGGTGTGGACACTGTCAACGTCTATTGATAAATCTTAATTTAAGATATTTAATGGCTACGGCCATATCACGATGAATGCACCTCATCCCGTCCGATTTGAGAAGTTAAGCATCGTCGAGCCACATCAGTACTGAGGTTGGAGACAACTTGGGAACCTGTGGTGCTGTAGTCTTTTATTTTTTATTTATCAAGATATGATTACTTCTTTTTAGTTGGTTAAATTCTATTAACAATGTTGGAAAATGTGTTGAAAATATTGGAAGGTGAGATTTGCGTGATTGACAATAAGATGCCTTAACTTTGCAAAGTTCATCAAGGCAAAATTAAAATCAAAAAAAATGTCAGCAAAGAGTTCATTCTCTCTCCCCGTTAAGAAAAAGTCTTCAACCTCTGCCTCCTCTTCTGTATCAAGTAAAGCCAAAAAACCAGTTATTGCCTCCTCTTCATCAGCAGTTCAAAGAACACCTCCCCCAACCATTAATCTCCCTTCCGAGGACTCTTGCAAAGTTGATGAAGTTGAACAGAGATTTGATCCCAGGTTCAAGTCACTTGCTTCCGATAATGTAATTTTAATATTGGATTTTATGGGAGGTGAAGTTACACAAGATTTGAGCTCCATTTCTCTTCTCATTAAGAATTGTTATGGTAGATTCGGAACTGATTCCTCTATTAAGTTTCTGTATCGATATGGGAGTTATTATACTAACGAGATTAATTTGGAGGGAATGATGTTTATTTTCAATGAACAATTTAGACAGTGCAAGAGATCGAACATGGAAACAAGAATTTTGAATGCCCTATGTCGCTGTTCAGGCGAAGAAAACGTTTCAGATGCCAATACAATTATTCAACAATTGGATAACTTCTCAAAGGAGAATAGGCAATTGTGTCTATCATTCCAACAATTGAATTTTTATGGAATGGAAACATTTTGGGAAGTGATTGAAAAGTGTTTTGAGGTATTTCCAAATTTTGAAAAGTTGAAAATTGGTTTTTATCCTGATCCTCCAACAAAGGTGCCTCGACGAAACTTTAAAAGAAAGTATCATATCGACCTAGTAAGCTTCCCTAAGGCTCTAGAAAAATCAAATATGAAATGCAAAAAATTGGTCTGCCATAGAAATGTGATGAAGGGAGATTTAGCGTTCAAGTTACCACTTTTAGAGAAGTACAAAGTAATTGGAACAGATCACCTCAAACAAATAGATCATTTAGAAGAATTGAAGAATCTCAAACATCTTTGCTTAGTGTATCATGATGCAAGAACATATGGCATGGAATTTAAAGCTAATGATCCTCAATTTTTCATATCTTTATCCAAGTGCACAAACTTGACAAGGCTCAAAATTAATGGTTTGTACATGTTTGGAGAGGAGTTTATTCACATCAATAATTCTCTTCCTAATCTCACCTACTTGAATTTGAAAAAATGTTTTTGTCAAAATACTGATGGAATTTTCAATGCCATTGGAACTTTCAAAAAGTTGAAAACTCTTATTTTAGGTTCTCATGAACAAAATTGCGTTGCGAAATTAGGTAATTTGAAGCAATTAGAATACTTAGAAGCATCAGACTTGAGTGCAAAGGATGTGAACACAATCTCTCAACTCGTAAATTTGAAATCCCTTATTGCAGAAGCACTTTACATTACCGATGAAGAAGGGAAAGATTTAGAAAAATTGAAAAATCTTGAACAGTTCAAATTTTCTACTGCAGGCGATATGTATTTTGGTATGAAATTGATTACATTTTTATTCGACAATTTAAATGTGAAAAAATATGAAATTAATACCTACAGAAATTCTCTAGATAATATTCCAAAAGATATTCAGCAAAGAATGAATGGTAGGTGCGACACAGAGAAATAATCAGAATACTTTTAATTATCACTTTTACTCCTCAAATATATATTTGCGCCCTACGCTCATAATTCACTTGTCGCAATCAAAACACAAAAATAACATGATGATTATAATTAGTTCGTTTTCATCTTTAAAAAAATGAAACTCACAATCCTCGTCGGATTGCTCTTGCTTTGCTTGTTGGTTTCAACACAAGCAGCCTACAACAATGAATTGGCAGACGACATTATCGACATTTTGTCTGACAGAAGAGGAGGAAGAAGATTTGCAGCACCAGCCTACACTCCACCTCCAAGACATTATGCTCCTCCACAACCTGTCTTTAGAGCAGCACCAGTTTACACTCCTCCTCCACAACCTGTGTATCATAGACCTGCTGTTGTACATCATCCAAGACCTGTTTATAGAGCTCCTCCACAACCTGTGTATCAACCACAACCAGCAATTGCTCAACCACAACCAGTGAGAAGAGGAAAGAGAGGAAGATTTATTCCACCACAACCAGTTAGTCAACCAGCTGCTGTTCCACAACCAATAGTTGCCCAATTCCAACAACCAAGAGGAAGAAAGGGAGGTAGAGGTAAAAGAAATAATTTCCAAGCTCAAGCTCCACAACCAACAGTTGGTCAACCAATAGCTCAATTCCAACAACCAGCTGGAAGAAGAGGTAAAAAGGGTAAGAAGGGTGGTTTCATTGGTGGTCAACCATCAATTGGTCAACCTACTCCATCAAGAGGTAAAGGAAAAGGAAAGGGAAAGAAGGGAAAGAAGGGAAATAAAGGAAATGTAGCTCCAGAAGATGGTTCCTCTCAAACCAGTGGAAGAAAAGGTAAGAAAGGAAAAGGTGGTAAGAAGGGTGGATTATTCAGTAAAATCACTAAGGGACTCATGGGTGGCGGTGGTGCTGGTGGTAAGAAAGGAAAGGGTGGTAAGAAGAATAAGAAACAAGAACAACAAGAACAGCAAGAACAAGAACAACAAGAGCAAGAAGTTGCTGCTGCTGAACAACAAATTGTCGAACAACAAAAAGCTGCTGAACAAGATATCTCTGAACAACAAGCTCAAGTTGAGAAACAAGTTGGAGAACAAAAGCAAGAAATTGAATCACAAATTGCTCAACAACAACAACAAGCTGAACAACATATTGCCAAATTGAGAGAAGAATTGGAAGCTAGTATTCAATCTGCTAATCAACAAATTGAACAACAAGTATCTCAACAACATGAAGATTATAAGGTACAATTTAAGGCAGCTCAAGAACAACTTACACCACAAATTGAACAACTTACTGAACAACAAACTCAAATTGAAACTCAAATGACTGAATTGGCTAAAGTAGCTCAAGAACAAGAACAAGCAAAGGAAAGATTGATTGAAAAGGAAAAGAAATTGAATCAAGAATATCAACAATTAATGGCAACTGAACAACAATTGGTTGCTCTTGCTATTGTCGAAAAAGCTCCATTGCAAACTACTCAACAACAAGCTCCTCAATTAGCTGAAACTCAACCTGCCACAAATCAAGAAAATCAACAAGAACTTGCTGATTTGATCTATGATGTATTGTCAGATGTCTATTCCACAAAGAAAGGTAAAGGTGGCTTCCAACGTTTCAAAGCTGCCCCAACCAGACAATTTGCTGGACAACCATCAGCTCAACCTAGAGGTGGTAAGAAAGGAAAGGGTGGTAAAAAGGGTGGATTCCTTAGTAAAATCACTAAGGGATTCAAGGGAATCATGGGAGGTGGTAAAAAGGGAGGAAAACAAGCTCCACCATCAACCTATTCCTCAAATGGTGAGATTGCTGCCCAACAACAACAAGCTGAACAACAAATTGCCGAACAAAAGCAACAAGCAGAACAACAATTGACTCAACAACAACAAGAAATTGAACAAAAATTGACTCAACAACAGCAACAAGCTGAAGAATTGATTGCCAAGCAACAACAAGAAGCTGAAGATTTGATTGCCAAGCAACAAGCTCAATTACAAGATCAAATTCAAGCTGCTCAAAAGCAAATTGACGATCAAGCTGCTAAAATGACTGCTGATTTACAAGCTGAAACTCAAGCTACTCAAGAAAAGATTGCCAAGCAAAAGGAACAACTCGATCAACAACAAGCTCAATTGCAACAAGTTGCTGACAAGCAAGCTACCACCCAACAAGAAATCGATGCTAAGGAAAAGGAACTTGCTGAACTCGAACAAAAATTGGCTACCTTGAGACAAGCTATTCAAAAGATTACCAATGCCAAGAAGCAATAAATCAAAGCTTGCAGTGCACAAATCGCCTTATTGGTTCCCAATTTCATCACACAAGGATGGACAGCAGTAGAACCGTACTGAACAGCTTAAATAATACATTAATCTCACAAAATTGTCCATTGAATTACATCTCACTTGCTTTAACTGAACCAATGGTTCATTTTCATAGGCAATCCTTTGTTAATCTTTCTGCGTGTTAATGGGGATAACAAGAGTGAGTGCACACGCAAAGATAAGCATTACCAAAAAAAAATTCACAATGAGAGTTTTCTTATTGAGCTGTGTTATTATTGCCTTCGTGATGAGTGGCCAAACCTTGGCTCTCACATGTAATCCAGGAAGTTATGTTGGTATGTTATTTAGTGTTCTTGATCATTATCGACCATTTATAGGAAAATTACAAGGAAACGATGCATGTCTTCCGTGTGGAGTTGGTTACTTTTGTGCCAATGGAATCACTCAAGAAAAGTGTGCCTTCAACACCTATTCTTCTGGCTCTGCTACCTCATGCACAGCATGCCGTAATTCCAATAGAGGAACTGATGCTGCCAATTCTGCCTGTTTGTTGCCAAATACACCAGCCAATGCTATTGAATTTACTAAAACAATCACCGTTGATTCCACAAAGCTTATTTCAACATTCACCAAATTGAATTTGGCTGGTTACGATTATGTTGATGTTCGTATCAAGCAAACACCACTCAATCCAAATGTTCCAATTACCAATATTAAAGTTTATGGCCACAGAAGCACTGGATTCCCTGGACCTGGTAAATATGATGGATTTGAGAATAGTAAGGAACCATTTTTGAGTTATGACAATGATTCTAGTGGTGATATCTTGTACTTGTCAATTTATGCTCATCCAGACACAATGTTGACTATTGATTTGCAAAGAGTCAAGAATGGTCAATAAACCAATTAGAAGTTTAAACCACAGTCAGATTAATTCAGATTTCAAGAATCCTTAGTCATATATTCTTCTCAATACTCTATATTGTTTCTTTGATTGTATGTTCAATCCAAAATTTGTTCCAAAGTTTGATCATTAGAAATTGTATTATTTGTAGTTTAGGATATTGCTGTTTTACCAGACGAGTTGGGACAAAGAAGAAGAATATTTTTATGATTTTGTATGCTTGGAAAGCATGTATATTGTAGAAGAATTCACATTCAATTTTCCTATCCATCTCTATCATTGCATGAATGGTTTTGTCCATGACGTGTCATTAACAAGGAAAAGATGCATTATTGGATAAACAAGAACGAGAATGCTGCCATTGATTGTGTTAATACCATTGCTAGAATGGTCATTACTGATCATTCCCAATAAGTTCAAAAGAAATTGTTCAGGAAACGAAATTATTGTAAATATTAATTATTATCTTTGTTATAAAAGTATAGATAGTGAAATTTTGGCATATTTGGAAATAGTTTTTCAATATGATTTTTCAAAAGAACTTCTGAACAAGATCCATCTTTTTATTTTGGTTTAGTTTTTCCAGAACAAAATGGCAAATGCAATGCGGTGCAAAGGCTATGAGATTTATTTGACACGCAGATGATTAGTGACGTACTAACAAAAAAATGTCACAACAGCAGTTCATTGAAATTTACATTTCCAACTACAAGACCATCACACCTGATGATCGTCACACTAAACCCTACACCAATTACATTCTCGATATTTCTCTCCAATCCGATAAAAATCCTCAAGAAATTTTCTATCAATGGTCAATAGAATATCGATATTCACAATTGAGAAGTTTTCACTCTCTACTTTCCAAGTACTTTAAAAAGCTTCCGACATTTCCTCCAAAAGTAAGTTTAATTTTTTTAAATATTTTAATTTTTTTTAAATATTTAATATTTTGTATATTTTGTAAATTAGAAATTATTTAATAGATCATCGGAAATGATTGAAAAAAGACTTGTGGAATTAAAAAAGTATTTTAAACAATTATTTAAAAATAGAAATGATATATTTAACAAATCGGGAACTCTTTCGTTTATTTTGAAATTTATCAACATTCCAAATGAATTAATGCAATATGTAATAGTTACAAAAGATGATTTAAATTCGGTGGATTCTCTCACTTTTTTAAATTCAAAACTTGACAAGTCAATTGAATCTCCTTTTTGTAAAGTAATTTTCCATAAGGGAGTGAGATATAAATTATCGAAATTTATTGGAAATGGTACATATGGTAAAGTTTATCATTCTGTCGATGATTCAGGATATGAGTATGCAATTAAGGAAATTCCTGCATTGTATGTTGATACAATGTTTGTGGAAAACAATGTAAAACTCATCTCTGAATGTAATGAAACATTTCTGAGATATATATTGAGAATTTTAGATACATTTCAAATTGCTAATAACTATTATGTCGTTACAGAATATTTTAATAAGGGATCTCTTAATAATATACGAAATGATGTGAAAATGAGTGTTTCTACAATTTTACAAATAATTATACAAATGGTCACTTCATTAAGATTCTTAAATTCAAAGAAAATGGTACATTTGGATATTAAGGAGGGAAACATTTTTGTTCAATTCTTTAATGGACATCGAATTTCACTAATTTTAGGAGATTTGGGATTGAGTAGAAAAATTAATCCTTCCATTCAATTGAATACTATTAACAATAATATTAATAATATAGAAATAGTTAAAGAAAGCTTATTCGAATCATTATCCAGTTCTGCATCTGTTGGAACACCATTATATCAAGCTCCAGAAATGTTACAACAAGAAAATCCTTTCATTCATGAAAAGAGTGATATTTATTCTTTAGGTTGTACAATATTATATTATTTATTTGGTAAAATTAAAGTATTGAATCAAGAAAAAGAATTAGATTGGGAAAAGATCAATTCTCTCTTTCAAAAACTTGAAGAACCAGAATGGAAATATATTTATGAATTGTTACAAAAAATGTTAACAATTGATGTTAACGAGAGAGCAGACACCAAAACAATACTTGATTTTATATTTAAAAAACAAGATGCATTGCCATCGGAAATGAATGAAGAAAAAAGAAATCAATTCATCCTGGACGAAATGGAAAGTATTGATTTACTAACAAGTTATGTAAAATTACAAGATTATTTCAAAACAAGTGATTCCATAATAAGAGATTCTCTTTATGAAAATGGAAATCAATTGGAAGATTTACCAGAACATTTTAAAAACAATTCCAACTATTTTAACATTGCAGCTCAACAAAATTCAATGTTGCATAAAGACTCAGATCAATTTAATTATTATCTAGAGCTAGCTGCTGATTCGAAACCAAATAACAATGAAATTACTCTCCTTACAAAAAATTCCTCTGAACAAAACAGAAATGATTACTACTTTGCTTTGAGTTCAGTTTCAAAGGACGGAAAAACTTTAAGATTTGTTGGACATCTTTTGAAAATGAATAGAACTATTGTAATGACAGCTGTGAAACAAAATCCATTGGCAATTCAATATGCCCCCAGTTCATTAAGGAAAGATAAGGAAATAGCAAAGGAGGCCCTTGTTTACAATGGCAGAACTTTGGAATATTTAGAAGAGTTACAAGATGATGAGGAAATTGTACTCGCAGCTGTTTCTGTTCATGGAATTGCCATAAAATTTGCTTCTCCAAGATTGAGATCTCACGAAAATATAATCAGACGAGCTGTCAAAGTTGATGAACGTGCCATTGAATATGCTGATACTTCAAATTTATCACTGAAATTATTATTTGAAATTATTTGTCAAAATATTGATGCATGTTATTATTTGAAATATGACGAAAAGTTAGTGATGGACTATGTGAAACAAACCAATGATAGCAATGCGAAAACATTTCTATTGTTAATGGAAAAAAAGGTATCCATGTCGAAAATGATTCAATTGGCCGACGATATTGGAAATCCACTTGCCCAACTTTATGTTGCCCTACATAGAAGGGATAATCCTGAAAGAATGCTCAATGCTGCCAAGCAAGGTAATTTACAAGCTCAATTGATATTGGCACGTTGGTTACAGATGTATGGACATGTTGATTCGGCAGTGGATTGGTTGAAAAAATGTGCCTCCCATTCATATCTTCCTGCAATTGTTTTTCTCTGTTCATTACTTGATCCAGCTACGGATGGTGAATGGTTTTTGAAAGGGGCTCATTTAGGAGATGGTGAAATTCAATACGTTTATGGCTTATCAATTTTTTATGAAAAAAATCGTACTCAAATTAATTATCAGGGATTTTATTGGTGTAAACGAGCTGCTCATCAGGGGTTTCCTAGAGCTCAATATCACATGTCTCAATGTTACAAGTATGGATTAGCAGTTAATAGAAATCCTGAGAAGGCTTTCAAATGGATGAAACTAGCTGCAGAGAATCAAGTGATAGTAGCTCAATATCAACTTGGATTATTTTATGGAGGTGGAAAAGGAACTGTGCAAGATGTCAAAAAAGCATTTTACTGGTTAGAAACTTCTGCCAAAAAGAAAAATTGGGTTGCCTTAAATGAACTTGGACTAATTTATATGAAAGGTCGTTATGATGTTAAAGTAAATTATGATAAGGCAATTGAATATTTCAAGAAATCTCTCCAAACCCTTGAAGATTACAAAAATAGTCCCATTAGTGATGATTTTGATCCGTTTGTAAATCCTCCAAAAGGTAATGGTGAATATCTCTATTTAAATATTGGAGAATGTTATTTCCTTAAACAGAAACGTGAGGAAGGAATTGAATGGATGATGAAAAGTATTTCATTAGGATGTGAATATGCAGTAGAAGTATTGGAAGAGTATACAGGTATCGTTGTTAGTACAGATGCCGTAGGGTGGCAAAATTATTGTTTTAATAATACAGAGGAAGTAATTTTGAATATGCATAGAGCTGTAGATAGCAAATCACAAGAATAAGAGAAAGATAATTAAAGCTGTTTTATTAGAATATTAACATTGAGGACAAACTTTTCAAAACAATGAGCCATGAAATTGAAGATTCTTCTTGGAATGCTTGTTTCTGCCAACATACTGACATCTCTTCTTGGGAAATCATGATGATTATCGTGTTCATTTACATGGTGGACATGGTGTCCAACAAGAATTTCAAGAACAAGATTGATATCAACATATTTTTGGAAAGGATAATACTTGTCAACGAGTGAATCGAACCAACCTTCTTCATGAGCAAGAGTTGTGAAAACCATAAAGATTACAGACATGACAAGTCTACTCATTATCAAGTGACACATATAAGCCAATGGATTCATCAACAAGAATGGAAGAAGCAACAATACCAATCTACTGAAATACATGAGTGCAGTGTATCTTTTAGGTTCAGTCTTATTCTTCCTCTTCAAATAGCATTCATTATAATACAAATCAAATACTGAACTTCTCTTGAATAATATCCAACGATTTGGGGAGGATTTAAACCAATAGTCTGGATCAATCTTCATAATTTGTTTCTTTCTATAGGCAATATCAGCACGAGTCAAGTAACCAAGAGTCCATCTTCCTCCTAAGAATAAATAAACAGGCGATAAGGTAACCATTTGGGTCATTATGCCAACACCTGCATAATTCATTAGAGCCATGGAAGCAAGTGGGACAAAACCTGAAACTAAATTGCAAGCCATCGAGGAAAATTTATCATGAGCAACTTCCTTTCCTTTAACTGGATATCTGCCGTGTTGAGTTTGTTTAGCCATTGTTGATGAGGGTATTTGTGTTGTTGTTTTTTTTTGTTGGAAAAGAGTAAAAGCATTTGCGAAGGCCTTTTATACTCTCGCTTGGCAACAAATTTTGTTTTTTTTATTTTTAAACTTTTGAGGCCACAAATTTTATTGTGCCATTAAGCTTAAGAAGAACAACAAAGTCATGGTTAAAAGCTGTAGTTATGCACAGTGATATTTGATTAGTGTTCAGCACCCGTACTAACGTTTTTTTTCTCTTTAAAAATACAATGATGATGACTCTGTTGAACTCCAAACAAGTTATTCATGGGAAGTTACATTAGCAATAGATGTATTACTATCACTTCCACTATCAACAGCAATAGAGGTGATATTACCACCGAACAAGTGGGAATATCTATTAAAGTTTTGAAATCTCTTCTTTCGTGAGTCAGTATAGAGGGAACATTGGTAAAGATTTTCACAATATAATCCAGTTCACTAAAATCATTGCCACTAATCGTAGTAGTATTGGTTATTTCCAATATATTTTCAATAGCTTTTCCAAATTGAACACGAACTCTGAGATCCTCTACTTGTTTATCTGTGAGTATCATCATTATCATCATCCTCTACTGGCCAGATATTTGCACTTCTCCCATAACTATCCTCTTTTGCTCGGCCATTTTCAAATCCAAATCAGTACACTTCTTTTTGGCAACAGATTCTGAATCTAGTGCTTGTTCCAGTTTTCTTCAAACGATTGCATTCACTATGTAATTCATCAAGATCCTTATTTAATTCATTTTGTTGCTGGATTAATTTTTATTGGAATTCACTCTGTTGTTGGACTAGTTTTTCTTGGAATTCATTTTGTTGTTGGATTAATTTTTCTTCAAAATATATCTTTTGCTCTTCCAACTGGATTTCATTATTACCATAGTAGTAGTTCTTGAAACAATTTCTTCATTAGTGGGATGAGTTCTTGAAACAATTTCATTAGTACGCTTTGTCTCAGAAGCCTTCTTCTTTGTGCTGGAAGTGACTACAGTAGTGTACATTTGTAAAAAATACCTTTACTTATTGTGTCACTCATCATGTCTCACACAACCATTAATAAAAGAAAGCCTAAGTGATTGAGTATACGGAGGAGGAAACACGATATTATGGGGCAAAGGAAAATAGAATATATTAAGGTTGACTCATATTAGCACAAAGTAATAAATTTTATTGAGCTTTCATCAACGATCTTGTTAAAAAGTATTTACAAAGGTACAATCTGTAATCCAAACACACATTCTTTTCTATCGTAATTAAAATCTCTAAAAATTAATTTCACATAAAACAAGTCTGGATTCAAATGAAATGGTCTGATGCAGGTGATGAACATCATCCCAAACTCCAAAAGTAAGTTATCTGGAATTCTAATGGCTGTTCCTGAGTGAGAAATTATGTCTTCATTGGTGAGGACATGGTTTTCTTTCTTGGATTTAAACAGAAATTCATCTGTACATCCACCATTCAAATCGCCATCTTTACAAAAATGAACTTTAGGATTTGCTCGACGTGATTTTTAGTCAACCTTAATATATTGAGAAAGATCAAAATAGGGAGTGTTTATTGGTAGGTTCCCAATTATTTGTAAAAATCTACAGTTCTTTCAAACCTGTCATTTTGCAATTGATAAATTGTAACAGAGGATGGATCGATATTCATTCCTAATTCAGGGAAGATGTGAATAGGATCGGAAATAAATGTTAACATTAAGCAGTTTTAAATGGAAACAGTCACTTGTGAAAAGGAACAGTAATATAAAATTCCAGGAATGTGATGGTATCAACACAATAGAATGTATTTCATTACAAGCAAGGATGTACCAAGTAACTCTTTAAGGGCTCAAATGTATTCAAAACAATCTAATGGATGAATCTAAATTTTCAAATCTATTAACATAATTACAAAATCTTCCAATTTATGATAGTTTTAGTGATTAAGTATTAAAATTACATATCAAACACTTTTATTAGACGGTAATTAAAAGTACTAGGTCAGTTATCACTAATACATTCTAAATTGATTACTTTCTCTTCTTCTTCTTATTCTCCTCAGTTGCCAAACTAGTCAACTCTCCTCTTTCCAAACTTTTAAATTGTGCAAGATCTTTTTCTCCAACAACAGCAGCCATATTAGCCAAATAGGTATCAATCATTTCTTCATTGGTAATATTCATCTCAACATAATAAGGAGTTCCATACCAAGTATCCCAATCATTTTCCTCACTAAACACTTTTTCAATGTCATTAATTGGAATTCTGTCCTTTCTTCCCTTTCTTGGGATTTTACATGCTTGGCAATAGTAAAAGTGATTGTGAAGTTGGTAGTGAACTATTACAACAACGTGGTCATTTAAAAGTTTGCCATGAATGAAGAATCCTTTTCTGAAAAGCTCAATTGGGTTTTTGAATATAATTTCCAAACTGCAAAATCTCTCAAATTCCATAATTCCAATGCTTTTGTAATTCTGTTTGGTGACTTGGCAATTTTCAACCTTGTCAATGTCAATTGTGTTTCTGAATTTGATGATAAATATTTCAGTATCTTGTTTCAAGTAAGCATCAAATAGAGAATAACAAATATCGAAACAGAAAGAGCTGGTTGATGTATCAAAGTATGCGAATCCAATACGACAAGTGGCAGCTTGAGTCTCTCTTTCAAAATCAAGTTGTTGAGCTGTAGAAGTTCCCAATGCCTTCTTAATAATGAGATAGACCCCATTCAAAAGTGAACTTCCTCCATCAGGATTACAACAAGTAGTAAATTCAATTTTTGAATAGTCCTTGAACTCATCTTTGAGATAATCTTTTTGTCTATTGACATAGTCTTCCAATTTTTCAACAGAAATATATTCTTCGACTAATTTTCTGAAATAGGCATGTGAAACAAAGCCACCACATACAATAACATTCTTACAACGATATTGAAGGATAACATCAAGAATTGGTTCAGCAATCTCTGCAACACCCTCTGTGAAACAACTTTCCAAATTGGAATATTGCTCCGGTAACTTGTCAGAATCTCTGTCATTGAAAAGTGCCTTCATTACCATCATTGTATCAATTGAACTATCCATCTTCTTGATCTTCTCATGAATGAGTGAGATTCCTCTTGTTTCACCACTCACTTGAATGATTTTTTCATCTTTCTTAACAATTGAATCAGAAGTCAAACAACCAACATCTACAACAATACAGCTACTTGAATCATCTAAATGGAGGAGTAATGAATATTCCTCAATGATGTAAACATCACTCATTCCAATAGAACTGTTTAAGAAGGTCATTCCAATAACTTCATGAGCAATTTTCTTGAATCTCCTCTTAACTTCAATGTCAGTATCGGTTGGAACTGTGAAAATGAAGCATTTAGCTTCATAACAATTCTTTTCTCCCTTTTTAGGAAATGTACATGAAGTCATGAGTAATTTCAAAAACTCTTTCAACAAATATTCAACTTGAAACTCTTTTCCTTCAACAGAAATAGTTTTTTGATCCAATACAGTGAACCATTTCTTGATGCTTGGAAATAAAATTGAAGAATCTGAAACTTTTTGTAAAGAAAACTTCTTTGAAAGTTTACAATAGTAAAGCCAGGTCTTTACAAATTCAACACTTGTTCCAAAATCTGATGAAGATTTCATAGGAGAGAAAGTAATAGTATCACAATTCAAACTGTTTCCCTTAATTTGAAACTTCTTTCCTTTACAAAAGCTTGATCCAATGTCAAATGCCAAAATATTGGAATATTCACTTTTCAAGTTGAAAACTCCTGAATTGAACAATCTTCGACTGGATCTAAATTGTCTCTAGGTAATTCTCCAAGTTTGTCAAGTTCAATTTTAAGATCGTCAAGATATTTATCAATCTACTGACATTCGAATAGAAGATCAACTCTACTTACCTGACTATCAGTTGGAATATGATCTTTCAAAGATTTTGAAACTGG